TAGATCAAATTAAGCTTATATTTATTAGTATCTCCAACAAATGCAATACATACACACACAGACTGCTGAATACATACACACAGTCTGCTGAATACACACACACACACACACGACTGCTGAATACAGAGACTGATTAATACACACACACAGTCTGCTGAATACACATACAGACAGACTGCTGAGTACACACACACACACACCGACTGCTGAGTACACACACACCGACTGCTGAGTACACACACACAGACTGCTGAGTACACACACACACACACACACAGACTGCTGAGTACACACACAGACTGCTGAGTACACACACACACTGCTGAGTACACACACACAGACTGCTGAGTACACACAAACACAGACTGCTGAGTACACACACACACACACAGACTGCTGAGTACACACACACACAGACTTCGGAGTACACATACACACACACAGACTGCTGAGTACACACACACACAGAGTGCGGAGTACACACACACACAGACTGTGGAGTACACACACACACACAGACTGCTGAGTACACACACACACAGACTGCTGAGTACACACACACAGACTGCTGAATACACGCACACACACACAGACTGCTGAATACACGCACACACACACACACACACACTGCTGAATACACACATACTGCATTGAGGTGGGGGGTGCTGTGTGTGGGGGGGTGCTTATGTGGGGGTGTGTGTGAGTGTTGTATGTGAGGGGTGCTGTGTGTATGTGAGGGGTGCTGTGTGTGTGTGGGGGGGTGTTGTGTGTGTGGGGGGGTGCTGTGTGTGTGTGGGGGGGTGCTGTGTGTGTGTGTGCTGCAGCCATGTAGGGGTGCTGGGCGGGGGTAGGGGTACTGCTGGGGGGTAGGGGTACTGTGTGTGGGGTGTAGGGGTACTGCTGCTGGGGGGTAGGGGTACTGCTGTGGGGGTGGGGTGTTACTGTGTGTGGGGGTAGGGGTACTGTGTGTGGGGGAGTAGGGGGGTGCACTGCTGGGAGGGTAGGGGTACTGCTGGGAGGTAGGGGTACTGTGTGTGGGGGTAGAGGTAGTGCTGTGGGGGGTAGGGGTACTGTGTGGGGGGTAGGGGTACTGTGTGTGTGGGATAGAGGGGTACTGTGTGTGTGTGGAGGGGGGTAGGGGTACTGTGTGTGGGGGTAGGGGTACTGCTGGGGGGTAGGGGTACTGTGTGTGGGGGTGGGTGCTGCTGGGGGGTGATGGTACTGGGGGTAGGGGGTACTGCTTTCAGTAGGGGGTTAGGGTACTGCTACTGTGGGGGGTAGGGGTGCCTGTGTGTGTGGGGTTGGGGTACTGCTGGGAGGTAGGGGGGATAGGGTGCTGGGGTGGGGGTACTGTGTGTGGGGTAGGGGTACTGCTGGGGCTGGGGTTGGGACCTGCTGGGAGGGTTAGTGGGGTACTGTGTGTGGGGGGTAGGGTACTGTGTGTGGGTTAGGGGTACTCGCGTGTGGGGGTTGGGGTACTGCGTGTGGGGTTAGGGGTGGGGGTACTGTGTGTGGGGGTAGGGGTGCTGCTGGGGCTGGGGGTGGGGATACTGCTGGGGGTAGGAGGTTACTGTGTGTGGGGGTGGGAGTTACTGTGTGTGGGGTTAAGGGTGCCACTGGGGAGGGTGGGGCCTCACTGGAGTTGTAGGGGTGTGCACTGCTGGGGGTGTAGGGGTACTGCTGTGGGGGGTGGGGGTACTGTGTGTGGGGGGTAGGGGTCCTGCTGGGAGGGTAGGGGTACTGTGTGTGGGGGGGTAGGGGTACTGCTGGGGGGTAAGGATACTTCTGGGGGGGTAAGGGTGCTGTGTATCAGTATACCCCCCCTCCCTCCTTCTTACCTTTAATGAAGTGGGGGGGGGGACACAGCCATCCCTGGTGGTCCGGTGGTGGTAAGCACTGCAGGGGGAGGGATCTGTGATGCAGCTCCCCTGTCCTCCTGCGCAATGCTGTGTGGAGCGTTGCCATGGTAACGCGCGGCAACGCTCCACACAGCATCGCGCGGGAGGACAGGGGAGCTGCTTCCTAGAGCCCTCCCCCTGCTTCCCGACCCGGAAGCAGAGTAGGCACCTGCCGTTTCGGGCAGGCAGGTGCCTACTCTGCATTGATGGCGAACCTGTGGCTGCGTGCCCACAGAAAGGGCCCGGCGTGCCACCTGTGGCACGCGTGCCATAGGTTCGCCATCACTGCCCTAGACTAATGATATCTCCAAGAGCTAATTGGAGTGAGATGTCAGCCAACTGGAGTCCAATCAATGAGATGAGATTGGAGGTGTTGGTTACAGCTGCCCTGCCCTATAAAAAACACACATCAGTTCTGGGTTTGCTTTTCACAAGAAGCATTGCCTGATGTGAATGATGCCTCGCACAAAAGAGCTCTCAGAAGATTAAGAATTGTTGACTTGCATAAAGCTGGAAAGGGTTATAAAAATATCCCCAAAGGCCTTGCTGTTCATCAGTCCACGGTAAGACAAATTGTCTATAAATGGAGAAAGTTCAGCACTGCTGCTATGCTCCCTAGGAGTGGCCATCCTGTAAAGATGACAGCAAGAGCACAGCGCAGACTGCTCAATGAGGTGAAGAGGAATCCTAGAGTGTCAGCTAAAGACTTACAAAAGTCACTGGCAAATGCTAAGACCCCTGTTAGCGAATCTACAATACGTAAAACACTAAACAAGAATGGATTTCATGGGAGGATACCAAAGAGGAAGCCACTGCTGTCCAAACAAAACATTGCTGCACGTTTACAGTTTGCACAAGAGCACCTGGATGGTCGACAGCAGTACTGGCAAAATATTCTGTGGACAGATGAAATCAAAGTTGAGTTGTTTAGAAGAAACACACAACACTATGTGTGGCGAAAAAAGGTACAGCACACAAACATCAAAACCTCATCCCAACTGTGATGTACGGTGGTGGGGGCATCATGGTTTGGGGCTGCTTTGCTGCGTCAGGGCCTGGACGGATTGCTATCATCAAAGGAAAAATTTATTCCCAAGTTTATCAAGACATTTTGCAGGAGAACTTAAGGCCATCTGTCTACCAGCAGAAGCTCAACAGAAGATTGATGTGGCAACAGAAGAATGACCCAAAGCATAGAAGTAAATCAATAACAGAATGGCTTAAACAGAAGAAAATGCGCCTTCTGAAGTGGCCCAGTCAGAGTCCTGACCTTAACCCGATTGAGATACTGTGGCATGACCTCAAGAAAGCGATTCACACCAGACATCCCAAGAATATTGCTGAACTGAAACAGTTCTGTAAAGAGGAATGGTCATGAATTACTCCTGACCGTTGTGCATGTCTGATCTGCAACTACAGAAAACGTTTGGTTGAAGTTATTGCTGCCAAAGGAGGTTCAACCAGTTATTAAATCCAAGGTTCCACATACCTTTTCCACCTGCACTGTGAATGTTTACATGGTGTGTTTAATAAAAACATGGCAACATGTCATTCTTTGTGTTATTAATTTAAGCAGACTGTGATCAGATCACATTTTATGACCAATTTGTGCAGAAATCCATATCATTCCAAAGGGTTCACATACTTTTTCTTGCAACTGTAGTTCCTTCACACATCGCCTTAAAGGCAGAGAGTAATCACTGTCCCTCAGATCCCTCTGTTTCTCCTGATTTTACGGTGAATGTCTCCCTTTTAGTTTTTTGACACTTTTAGAAATTCCCACAGTTTGCAATTCCTGAAAACAATGAAATGGGTAGGTAATAAATCGAACAAACCATCTTCTTCACATATTCCTTTGTATTTCACAATGTTGTCGTGGTATAGATTTCGTAGAATTTCAATTTCTTTTTTCAGATCTGCAATATGATTGCCTCCGGACCCAGGCTTCAGTGATTTGACGGCAACCAAATCCCCAGTGTTGTCTCCCTCAGGGTCATAGCGACACAATTCTACTTTACCAAAGTGCCCCTAAAATACATAGAAAAGGAGAAGGTTTAGCTCACGAAGTCTTCAACTCACCAACAGAAAATGGATTATAGATGTGTGCCATACAAACTACTACATACCAATGTCAAATACTAAGAGACACTATAAAAGATTGATACATTTAAATACATTAGAACCTATGATATCAAAATTCATTATAGGACAATCATCATTAGCATACACTAAAACATATCAAATGTTAATAGATGCCAATTTGCAAACTGTAATGATCACAGCCTTTTCATTTTAAGTTGCAGTGTCACACACCCCCAATTCCAAAATGAGTATTTCATAAAGACAAAACCTCTACGAAATACTCCCATTGACTGTGTTGGAATTTCACTGAAATTACAACTCAGTCAAAAGATATATTAATACAAAGTAGAGGGTAACCCTTTGTCAAGCTCATGTGACAGCTGAGGGATCATGCAGTCTTGTTGGATCCTCCATAGACCCAGTGTACAATTCTGCCATGGGCTCCTGGCAGCGGAAGTTATGGGATCTGAAGACACGCAGGAAGATCCTGGTGACAGCAGAAAGGGACAGATTCAGGAAAGTACAACTCACTTTCCGCTTCATCCTCGCACAAGCAGACATCCAAATTATGCAAAGACTCAGACATAGACAGAGCTGTTTTAAGAGGTTTTAATTCTTTCACTTAGACTCTCTTACCTCTCCCAAATCTCGTACTCTTTTCAAGAACCTTTTCTCAAACAAAGTTGGGTCAACTTCTGCATGGGGAGTTATTTCAGAGACGATATCTGGATCTGATGGAAAGAGCAAAGTAGAAAGATGTATTAGACACAAAAATAAATAAATCAACTAAATAATTTTCATAACAAATACAAACATGTAAAGATAAATCAATCTGTTACATTCCTCTCTTGTGCCATACACACTTTATCCCAAACGGCAGAGACCAACACTTATCCCAAACAGGGCTTTTTTGGAGATGGAATATTTCACCAATACAAATAAAGGTGATAAACAAATGGTCATTAAAATGCTGTATAAAATTGCACCAACAGATCCATCAAGTTCAATTTGCTTCACTGCTTCAATGACAAACATTGTAACACAAGTCATGTGGCTTGATCACTATGTCTGAGGGCTAATGCTAATTAAGCCAGATGAACACAAATGTCAGTAAAGGAATTTTATAAATTTAAAAAAAAAAAAAAACACACAAATTTTAACAAATAGTATATTATTGTGATATAGAATATAATCTTTCACCTTCAGTCATTTTTTTTTTTTTTTATCTGTTTAGTAAATCACAGGACAGAGACAGAAATAAAAAGAAAATTCTCACTTTGTTCTTCCAGTTTATTTATCTCCCTCATGATAGCTCTGAAAAAGGGCCTCCTGTTGGGGTCGTAGTTCATGCACTGATTGATAAGATCTGCTAACTCTTTGCAAGCTGGTGCTACCAGCATAAAGCAGCCATCGTAAAAGCGTTCTTTCTGGAAGACAGACAGCAACAATGATCAGTAGCATTAAACAAGTCAGGCAGATTAATATTAAACCCCAAACAAAATGCCATTCTAATTTGGCGGTGAAATGAATAAAACGTCCATCTATTGCCCACCAATGTTCTAATACCAAAACTTTGCTGTGGTTAAACAGAAGTTAACCTAGTAGGGCTAGATTGGGTTGTTCTAATAAATCGTCTTTTTGCAATCTGAGAGGCTGCCACTAGGGGGAGTTTTGTACGGGTCTATTTGGGAAGTATGTAGAGTATGCAGGCTTCCTGTCATCAGTGACCGCACATAGCTTCTTTCTGTTCTTGCAGTCAGATGAGAGTGAAGCCTTGTGTGCTATCATTGTCTGTGGCTGTCGGTATTAATGCACTTTGATTTCTTTTTGTTACTGGTGTTTGATGCGCTACTTTGGGGGAATTCCAAACATGAGTTTTAATGCAGTATGTGTGTCGGTGTGACTAAAGAGTACTATTTTATATAAACACTCGTCAAAGTGCATTAAAAAAATCATCTCTTCTTATTCATTGAATAAATTGGTTAATTTGGTGTAACTATTAAGTAAAATATGCAAATAGAGACAAGCTGCCATATATTTGTATTTTCCTTTCCAGCTTGTTACAAGTGTCTGTGTTTATAGAGATTTTCTTCACTAAAATGTAAACAAAATATCAGCAGCACGCAGAGTCCTCTGTCAGAGATTATAGACAGAAATGTCCACTGAAAGAAATGCAAAGAAAATGGTACTTTAGTCCCAAAATAGCAGATTTGAAAACCCTGAATAAGATTTCCAATTCTCTATTTTGAGCCAGAATTTTGAAAAAAAATCTGAATAACTTTGAATTCCCAAAAATTCTAAATCCGCCCTGTTATTAGTGAATACAGAATGCTGCGTGTAACACTTGTCTCTGATTGATAAATTGGTAGGAATGGGGGTGAAAAAAAACCCCAAAACTGAAAAACATCTTTGAATTAAAATTATGATTTAAAATATTAATACACCATGCATGCTCCCTTCATCTACATGTGGATGAATTATATTAATAAAGTTTTTTTCTATTTAGGGTAAAAGTGAACTTGCACAAATCCAGACCAGTGTTATCGACAGTCAGTTCTGTTCGTTTGAGACTACAATAACATAACTGCCATAGGATGTTTTGTTAGGCTAAATTAAATTGTGTTTTTTTACATGAATATAAAAAGATTCTTCAAAAACACACAAATTTTGCAAGTCTGTTGCCAACTGCCTACATGTCACGTTTTTAGGGAATAAACCACGAGATCTCCCTTACATTCTTTAAGAGTTTTTTTTTTATTTTAATTTTATTTTAATTTTCTGAGTCATCCCTGCAAGAGTTCGGTCAAACATTGACGGGACGTGTAATGAAACTGAATTGCAACACTCACCTAATTTGGTTGAAGTTTTGCAATTATACACAATTCACTGTTTAGCAATTAAAAACAAGTGACCTAAAGAGATGGGTTTATACCGGAACTTATCGTCATGCTTGTTTGTGTCCTCAAGCTTCCTTCCTGTTGAATTGTACAGAGGCTGTGCTATGGTTAAAACTGACCTTTTTACATGATTGTCACACACTTTTCACAATTCTAAGAAGGCCAGTGTCTTTGTATGTGGTTAGCGGACTCACTCTGTTACTTTAGACTTTAAAAGTTGCATGTCAGAGCTCTCCCCAATAAACCACGTACAGGACTGACTGTGCTAAGAACCAGTGACTGGTCTGTCTTAGTAGCCCTAGCTATGGATTATCAGAGACTGGTCTGTTTTAGCAGCCCTAGCTATGGATTATCAGAGACTGGTCTGTTTTAGCAGCCCTAGCTATGGATTATCAGAGACTGGTCTGTCTTAGTAGCCCTAGCAATGGATTATTATAGACTGGTCTGTCCTAGTAGCCCTAGCTATGGATTATCAGAGACAGGTCTGTCCTAGTAGCCTTAGCTATGGATTATCAGAGACTGGTCTGTCCTAGTAGCCCTAGCTATGGATTATCAGTGACTGGTCTGTCCCGGTAGCCCTAGTTCTGATTATCAGTGATTTGTCTGTCCTAGTAGCCCTAGTTCGGATTGTCAGTGACTGGTCTGTCCTGGTCGCCCTAGTTATTTCTTAGATGTGAATCTGGATCAAAAAAAAAAAAAAACCCACTCCAAATGAAACCTAATTACAACTATTTAAAGAGTTTATTTTTATTGAATTTCAGGTGTTAACATTTACACACTATATTGGATTTTCCAGAAATGTTTCCACTGCCAGATAACTGAAGGGAAAAGAGAAGGTTGATTTTTCCCACTAATGCCGTCTTTTCCCCTATAAACTGAATGAGGGCCAACACACCTATAGACATTACAGCTAAAAACGTTAAAAGGAAGTCAGCAGTGCCCGTACCATACCTAATGCCAACAGCTCACATTCACTTCTAAATTGGTGCACTCCATTAACCAATCCACAAAACAAGGTATCAGATTAATAAGGAGTGAACATCCCCTCCTCTTCTTTCATATTATCTGCTATAACTACACCCAGATTCACATTTTGAAAGCCAATTATTATGAGTCTTGGATTGTCCCTTTCACTTGAATAACTTATGGAGTACCCTTAGGGAAGGGGTTAATAATTTGATACCTCTGCAAGAGTTCGATCTTTTAGGGGCACTTCTCCATTGAAACAAATCTCCCACAGCGTGGTCCCAAAGCTCCATTTATCCGTAGCTACATTCAGGATCTTGCAGTCCTCAACACATTCGGGGGCAATCCAAGGAATCCGTTCAACTCGTTCTAAAATAAGATTCAAGAAACAGAAAATATCGATTCAGTACGAATGTAGGAACCATTCAGCCTACCTACAGTTGGTCAAAATCTATACCCTTTACCAATCTTGGCAGCAGTGATCTTTAAATTGCAATGCTTAAGTAGAATTACTGCAAAAGGTCAATCAAGGTTTACTATATATAAACAATCAGATTAAAGTCTATTTTATTCTTTACTTCCGTTTTCTGATTGTTCCTGCTGATATTGATAGAGATTATCTGTTCTCTGCAGGTTTAGTAAGAGGTCGGCGAGTTGTCTCTGCTGTAACTAAACGGAGACCAGCATAGTGGACCTGAAGTTGTTCGGTACTTTACAAAGGCCTATCGTTCATGTCTACATGGTGTTACTCACTACAGTGGGCAGTGTGTCCTCCTGCTATATGTGACATTGCCAAATACAGAACATACATGTGCCAAATATATTGCATGTTTTTACATGTAGATATACCATTTTTATTTCATGTATGTGGTTGTGATTCATTTCAATACAATCTCTAAGATCTGACGCGTCGGCCAGACAAATTATTCCGAAAGAGAAGTTATGGTTCTAATATGAAATGTTAATAATCTAAAGGTACAATCAAAACAGCATCGTAACATACTGTATAGACCCTGATGTATCATTTACTTACTGACCGCGTGTAAACATTGCACTGTAGGGTTAGTGAAAGAATATTTAAATAAAATGTAAAAAATAATAAATCCTGCTATGTTTCTTTTATCTGCTAAACTACAGCAGCACTGGAACCAGACTGAGGAAAAATACATAAAATAGAGATCCGGACACCTAGAAACTTGTGAGAGTGCAAACAAAGCTATGGCTTGAAGGATATAATGCATCACATGTGTAATCGGATGCTTTTCCACTACAGTAGTTCGTTTGCAGAAATAAATGTAACTGAGTAAAGGAGTGGGGACTGAGCAACCACACTGAATGTAAACCAAACTTACACTCCAGCCCCACATAAACTAAAACCAGGGCTGGGCTATTAATGCATGCTTCACTCTCATTGTGTTCGAATGTTTTATGGAATTTATGCAAATTTCCAAAGCTAAGCAACAGTTAAAGGGACACTGTATGCCCGCAGACCACTACCAGACAGCCACTAGAGGGATTCTTGGATTTGTTCCGGTATCTGACGCTGGCTGTCCTCACGCTCTGCAGCCCAGCGTCAGATTTTTTCCCCCACAGGAATGCTTTTCTATGGGGAGGTCTAACCCACTTAGGAGCCAGCTCATCAAGGGACGCTGGAGGGAGCAGAGCATCGATAGCATCTAGGGACATTGGTGCTGGTATCAAGCAAGAAAATAAAAGGGTTTTAACCCTTTATTCACTGGATTGGCGGAGGGGGGGAGGGGGTTGGGAAGGGGAAGGCAGATGCAAAAATGAAAGAAGTAAAGCTGGTTTTCATTTCTTAAAGGGATACTATAGTGTCAGGAATACAAAGCTCTTAATCTAGCTTGCTATGCCATGAGTATGGGGCATGTCTCCTAAACAGTGAGCAGCATGTGACTGCTCACTCTTGTAAAAAATTAAATAAAGACCACCATCCCCTAAAGTGCCTCATGGTGGGGCACCTACTAAAATAATTAATGGGGGGGCATAGTGCTCCCCCCATGCTACACGAGTCATAGGCCCCCCTCCGGCCCCCACCCATTTGCAGCATAGCGAGTAGTGGCATTAGGGAGATTTTAATCTCCCTTATGCTAATATGGGGGTCACACTGAGGCACTATTATTTTTTATATATTATAAAGAGGGAGCCACGAGCCAATAGCTCCCTCCTAGTAATAAACTAAAACAAATGAAGACCGAAATTCAGTCTTCGTTTGTTTGTTTAAAATTTCTATTCATTCATTGGTCTTTCTGTCATGAACGAACAGCCAAAATTCCTGTTCGAATATTGGACAATAGCGAATGTCCAAGTGTTTAACTGGGCCCACGTTTAAATTTTCACAGTGATATCTTGTTTGGGCAGATGACCTGTTCCATAGGGCCTTCATCTGCCCGCACAAAGAAGGCGGCACCTAGGATTTATGTTTGGGCATGAAATAAAAATTTTAAAAAAAGGTAAAATGGGGGCTTAGGGGTTATTTTGGAGTCAGGAGGAGGATTTAAAAAAAAAAACAAAAAAACAGATGCGACTTGGACAGCGCCGCTTTAAATGCATTAAACAAAAAAAGGAGGGGGGAATAAGAAATAGAACATCAGCAAATATCATATCATACCTTGTCTGGTTAATACAGTAATTGGTATTCCAGGGTCACTGAGCTTTATAAATGGGCCACATTCACCCTCAATCCCTTCTCTCGCCAATAAGATGTTTTTAGTGCAGACGTTTCCATGCACTAAATCTTTATCTTCCTGTATTGGGTAAACAAAACAATTATTATTTTATCATAAAAACAATTAACATTAAAATGAAAAAAGTACTCTAAATAGTTATTAGAGAAGAAAGAGGCAATACCAGCAGTCAACTTTCTTTGTACTTGAGATGAACTACTTATATTCTGTTAGTTGAAAACAAAATGCATTGTGGGATGGTGGAGGTGGCCAAACATTTGCACGTGTGCTTTCATTCACCGAAGTAGCCATTTTGGTGCATTAAAGGGAAACTATAGTACCAGGAAAACAAAAAAACAAAGTTGTCCCTATAAACAATGAGGACAGTCACTTAAAAGGATTACTTTTTTAATATTCAATAGAAGGTGACCCGGTCAACCCCAACTTTTTTCACATTCAGAAAAGTTTACTTTAAGATTTGAAAAGGACTTACTGGAAAAAAAAAAGTATAATTGCACAAAGAAATGGCAAAAAGAATTTAATGTAATATTTAAGGCTTCAGACATTATCAGTACTCACTCCAGGCTCACTATACCAGCTTTGAGGGACTCTGAAAAATAATTAACGCTGGATTGCTAATGGCCACATTCTAATTGAGATTGGGGCATTTCATGCGTAAATTAATAGACCAGCTTGGCAGAAAAAGCCCCGTAACTAACACACGTCTGCAATAAACAAAGAAAATGAATGGTGTTATTGATTCATCTCACTCTGTCCTTCAAATTAGATATGAAGATTCCCATTATACATGCAAACTACTGCGTGTGCATGTAACCACAGTAATCAGCATTAGCCAATTAGAGGCTTTATACAACATGTAAGGAGAATTTAGCAATGGTGCCGTTTTCTGTGTCGTTCCATAACAGCTAGAGATAAACCTTTTGGCTACACCAGTTTTATGGTCTATCTTCGAGCTTTATTTTCCTTTAATCAACTGTGAAATTCAATTATGGGTTTGTGCCTGCCTGCCCTTGGAAAATATTCCCCAATAATTATAGAATACCCCTTCTCCCCCCAGTCATTAACTATGGATTAAAGGGACACTATAGTCACCAGAACAACTCCAACTTATTGTATTTGTTCTGGTGAGTAGAATTATTGCCTTTAGGCTTTTTGCGCTAAACATTGTCTTTTCAGAGAAAATGCAGTGTTTACATTACAGCCTAGACACCTCCACTGGCCGCAACTCAGATGGCTATTAGAGGTGCTTCACAGTATGTGTCTGCATGAAGACACTGGACTTTCCTCACAGAGATGCATTGATTTAATGCATCTCTATGAGGAGCTGCTGATTGGCCCTGATCTGCCTCCTTGACAAGCTCAGTCAATCCAATGTGAAAGTATTGTGATTGGCTCAGAACACCACTTCTGATGATGTCAGCCAAGCAGGCAGATCAGGGGCAAAACCAGCAACCGCAGACTGTAATAATGGTAAGACTTTGCTATATATTTAGGAGGGCCAAGAAGGTTAGATTGTGGTCAGAAATACATGTTAATGTTCCTTTAAGTGTAGCTTCTCCCTGTCAAAGCTAACAAGGCAAGATAGCAAACCAAACTAGTATTTACATAACCGAGGCTGCCCACTCCTTACCCAACAAATCTGTCCTTCACTGCAATGGAATGGGGCCAAAAGTTAATTTTTATTTTTTAAGTTCACAAGACTATTTTTGTAAAATTACCAAAAAAATAACATGACCCTTGCTATTCTTAAAGGCTCAATTAAGTTCTCCCACTAAGTATTTCCCAGCTAGTGACCGCTCTACTTAATAAAGCAGCTGTGATAACAAAAGGCAAATTAGAGGTGAATAAGGAACTCTCCGGCGTGGGTGTCTGTGCTCTGTCAGGTTCACTTGTAGTCCAAGGGTCAGAACTATCCATTATTGCAAATAAGTTTTGTTGCTTTATTAAATGCCATCTTTAAATGACAAGCAAATGTTTTTTCTTTTTTTTAATTCTAAAATGGACATAATAATCCTCACTCCTACCTTAACATACGATTCTCCTATTAGAAATTTTTTTTTTTTTTTACAATGTTACTCATTAAAAGAAAGATGAAATTGGTTATTATACATGTACTATGACACAATTAGGTGGGGCTCATTAGAGCAGAATTTCCATTTTCCAAAGATACAAAGGCATGTGGATCATGCTAAAAAATGAACTTTAAAAACTGCAATGTTTAGGTTACCCAAAGAAACGTTTGACGCCTGTGTCATCGATCAGTCAATATCTTATTTAATAATGCTTTAGCTCTACACTATACTGAAAGAACCATTACTGGATGAGACAACAGCCAATAAAATAAGGCTTTGGATATTAAGATTCCTACTCCAACAACAGTTTGTTAGAATCCAGAAGGAATGGACTGTAGACCTTGGGGGTTTAAATATGGCAAACACCCAAACAGTTCTTCAGTTAGACGGCTCACCAGGTAACTCAGGGCACTTGCAAGCTGTTTGGCAACCTGAAACTTCCACGGTGTCGTTAGAAATTCACTCTTACGATGCATGAACAAATCAAGAGGCCCGCAGTCCACATATTCTTCAACCATAATATCTGAAAGAACATGTAATGACCGTTAATTCTTGTTCTGGTACATATCACGGTACACACACCGTATTTCTTTACATTAAAAAAGGAGGGGGAAATCATCAACGTATTGTGTTAGCAGAATATTACAGGAATGCCTTAGGCCAGTTTGTGGAGAACAAGAAATTGTGAAAATAGCAATCAAACCAAGCTAAAATAGTCCCAGCAGAAATAAGGGCGTCTACATGGACTAGTTTAAGTGAGCGCATCCAAAAGAGCTAAGAACAAATGTTTTTGAGTTCATCCAACACAGAGGTGTACTGGTAGTCCATGGAACACCAATATCAACACCTACAGACTATGCATTCTGGCTGAAGCAGCCTGGAGAGGAAATTATTAATATTTCTAATTTAAGTATAGTGTAACTTAGATCTATGCTAAAAGATGTATGCACTGCCCAACAGGTGTTAGAAGTTAAAAAGAGCCGGGTGTCTTAGTCAACTAAAATACAGCCGCCGTTTGTACAGCAGAATACAAAATCAGTTAAGTCTATATTTTCTTTAGTGATTTGACTGCTTAACAGATGGCATTTAATGTATTTTCCTAGACAATATTAGTTTACTTTAAGGGGACAGAGGTGGGTGCAGAAAACCAGAAAGGCACATATGATGTTTGGCAGGGAGTGTTCAATGTACATAAGAATAAAACGGTCAGAATGCATCTTTATTTTTAACGGAACAATTAGCAGTGTGAACACTTAGAAGAACAGCTACTTGGCACATGCACAGTTTTGCTGGCTCAATCCTGGGGTGGAATAATAAACAGAAAAAGTCAGATACTTAGTGTTCAGACCATCCACATCATCAGGAAGAATTTACATTTTCAGGACAATTATGCTATATATGCTACTTTAAACATGTATTTTACGCAGCCTCAATTTTTTTTAAACATATAGTAAATGTTTGTATCTGACTCACTTTCCACATCTCGCACACATACGCCATAAAGCAGCACAATGTGTTTGTGTGAAACTTGTCTCATCATACTTGCAGTCTCAAAGAAAGCCTGTATGAAAAAATGGAAGAAAAAAATAAAATCAAATAAACACTAGTACATTGTGAACAAAGACTAAAAACATGAAGTACCTGTACTTCGCAAAAAATAATCTAATCCCACAGCACAGCCCTTTCTTTCTGTTATTTGGTACTGGAGGTAGGGAATTGTTTCACCGACATCATTTTAAGTAATGTTTGCTGAATATCATTCTTAATTGTATTAAATAAAGTAAATATTAGAGCCCCCTCCCACCAAACATAACGTTATAAAATTACTAGTAGGCTACATTCCCTTAAAGTCAGTGGAGACAGGCATTTTAAAGATCAACGTTGTACTGAATCATTTTCTGCAGAACAATTCAAGCAAGATGTATGGGCTCAAGTTAATTATCTAAGGGGTACATAGGGTACCTGAAAGGGATACATTACATCCACCATTAAACAATCTTTTTGTAACAGAGTGTTCCATGCTAACTATTGGTGTTCGGGAGGAATGAATACCGACCAAAGAAATATCACGGTGACTTGGGTCCAACACTTTCAGGATAACTTTCATTTCCTTTTCGGTGGAAAAGCTTTCGCAGTCATCATCTTTGTAGTTCAGTTTTCCTGAATAGATCTGTGTCCTTGTTCCTCGACCCATATGATCCAGCTAAGAGATACACAATAGGTATAATGCATATTTAATACATAGCGGTACCTGTACAGCATTCAACATTCTGTATTTACCATAACAGACAGCAGATACATGGTCAGTGAAGTGTTTAGTCAGGTACCTTCAAATATATGGCTGGGCCAAGAAGTCTAGAGTTATTGTTCATTGCTAACTTTTTTTTTTTTTTTTTTTTTTTTAAGCTTTTCAACTAAATACAGCAAAGTGACAACATTATGCACAACTGATGCCTGGCAATGTATATATTAATAATACACAACTAAACATCCCATATCAAACATATAGCAAAACAGTGATCTTGGGCCACAGTGATGTAGGGCGAATAAGTGAATAAAAGGCCCTAGAAAGTTATTACAGAGTCAAACAAATAGCAACCCTATAGGTTACAGGAATCAAAAACACAATATAAAATACATGCATTAGGTGCACTGTGCATTTAAGAAAACACTTACAAAATATGCTGTGCTTTCTAACCCACATTTGGGTAAATAAGCAAAGCGCACTTTGGGAGTGTGTATTTTTAACCCCTTAAGGACACATGACGTGTGACATGTCATGATTCCCTTTTATTCCAGAAGTTTGGTCCTTAAGTGGTTAAAGGCACTATGCACATTTGGCCAGTGAATATTATTTAATTAATATAGAATGTTTGCTTTAACTTATTAAAGGGAGACACTTTCATTTGTTAAAAAAAAATAAGAGAATAAATGTTCCTTAGTCCTATTTGTTATGGTTTATAGTGCTTGTTTTAAGAGTAATGTTGTAAGCTTTGTGGGATTCATTTGTTTTCAAATTCTATAGCCGGTAATCTATTTGTCAATATACAGGTTATCTAAGGTTTTACCCTCCCTTTAATTACAAGAAGCCATGTTGGCTACAGCCAGGAAACGGTCATGTACAGTCATAACGCACCGATGTCTGAAAAAGATTGATGCTGCAGATTACCAAGGTGTGTTTGATTTAGTTAATCCTACTTACAAAACCAAACTATTTTAGGTGCCTTACAAATTCTGCAAAAAATAAAATAAAAAATAAAAAAATAGTGGGGAGCCCAAATGGTAAGGTATAAGGGCCAGGAACACACTCAGAGTTTCCATAGCTAGCACTCTCAAATTATAAGACAATGTCCATCTTCTTGATAAAGTTCAAGGTATATTACCAGAGTTCGCTCATCAGGAAGGAAACTACTTAGTCTAATCTGCTTTATATCAGAACAAAAATCAGTACATAAAGCACATTACTAGATACTAGGGATATACAAGGGCACCAATCAGAAAAAGAACACTGTAACGCACTATACATGAGCAAAGAAGAAGATTGACAATCATATTTTCTGGCTGTAGGTTATTTAAAGAGCTACTTACCTGCACAATCTCATCTTTAAGTATTCGGTGGAAGCTGAGCTGACTGAGGTGGTAAACTGGCTGCCAGTCCATGGCCTTTTTTGTTGCAACTAACAAGTTTGAAATTTCTAATTTAAAAAAAAAAAAAAAAGGAAGGAAGGAAGGGAAATGAAAAGGGCTGATTGTTAAATTAAACATAAACATACAAATCTTTGATGTAAAATTATTTAATGGGTTTAACAAATAAACTATCCAGATATCAGGGCCTAACATTTCCACTGGCCACCAGCAAGTGAAAAACCATCCCTGGTAAACATACAATGGGCTTCCAGTGGTGAGTAACTTTAAAGGCCTGGCTAGTATCACAGGGCTTCAAATTTTAAGCTCTGAAGGTATGTAACTAAAGGCTCAGCTGATGTAGCGATCATGCTTTCACACAGATTTTCGGCCAAATAGTGAGCACAGAATATTTCCTGTAGTAGGTCTACCTCACACGATATATTTCACAATATCAATGTGGCAAGAGGTGCAGTTCAGCGGGTATTTGAACTACATTCTATTTATCATTTTCAATGTTCTGCAAACAGCTTCCCCTTTCAAAATATACCCTGGGTCCTGTGCAGATGTAGATTGCAGCCCTCTATATTTTATTTAGTTATTTTTTTAAGGCTGCTTCTATTTTTTTATTTTTATTTTTAGTTAAAATTTCATGCAAAATGGAATAATAAAAAGGCATATTTCACGAAAAACAGTAAATAGTATGAATTTAAAGAAAATACTTTGAAGGGGGAAGAACATCAATGCCTGACATTTCTCCAGAAATAATAAAAATGTATCCTTTTTCTCCATAAAGAAGCTAAATATTTGGACATTGCATGCGTGCCTGCATGTGCTTTTAAACACAAATCTCAGTCCTTCTGAAGTCATTACATAAATTTGCAATTGTTTCAATGTAGGCAACCTATGAGGAAGACCGTGAAAGAGTTGTAGACAACATCTCCCAGGATACCGTGAATCAGGCGTTAAAAGCATCTGGAAAGGTTAGCGTTGCCTAAATCTTATAATGAATTATACAAAGCTCTGCTTGTTGCCAGTACAAAATGAGAAGCAGAAACAATGTTTGTGTGGTTTAAGCAGATGACACTAGTTTTTTGTCACGGGGGTTCCAGACTGTTTTAAAACAAAATATATATCTTGTCCATTAAAAATTTTAAATTCCAAATATCTTACTTACCCTATGCCAGCACTAAAACGGATTACTATTTATAATTACTGATTAAGTATTTTCAACATTTCTCGGACACCATCCAGAAGACAGGACTCTCTAGAATTAACTCCATCCTATTCCAACTCCTGAGTCTCCCTCCAGTTCCCTTCTCCTCCCTCCTGTGTGTTTCACAGTATCCTTACCTACTGTCTTTGTTTTCCCCTACCCTGAGAGTTAAAAAAAGTGTGGCTAAAGGGGGACGGGGCCTGACAGCCAAGATGGCCGGACGTGCTCCATGAGGGCTCTAATGCCAACGAGCACAAAAAGGTTTAGCCTGAACAATCCAACCATGCTAGCAGCACAAAATGCCCAAAAACCGATACAGGGCCACACAGGGAATAGAATGATATCTGTCCCGCATCGACACACAAAACAAGCACCCATACTGGCCACGCGGTCTACATTGGAGCGGGGCCTGAGGCCTGGGGGAGGCGGCCGATCCCCCGACACAGGACCTGCCCATAAGACTCACTCGGATGCTGCCCCTATACCCCCCCCCTCTGGACCGGCGGGGGATATCCCAGTCCTCGCTGGGGACGACTACCCCCACAACGCGGCTCAACCAAGCGACCAAACCCACACATGCACAGGACTACAGGGGCCCACGCAAGATGGCAGCACAAAACAACCTCATCAGACCACCCAAGCACACCCTAGAATTCTTTGACCAGCTCCGCACTAGCCTCTGGACATTGCTCCACACAAAGGTTCAGCACTTCAAGCTGGCGATGCAAACTGTGGCAACATGGATCTGCCCGGCTACCCGACGCTGCCTGAGCAGAGGCCCACCCCGAGCCCCCAGAGCAGCCTCCAGACAGTGCCAACCTCTGAGTTCAAAACGGTGGGGAATGGCGACGTGCCTCCCGGACCCACCGGCACACATACCAGCGAGAGACCAAGCCTGCACGATTCACATACCGCTCAGCAACACCGGAATCCTCCAGCCAACGAAGCACAACCTTACACTCATACGCCCGAATAGACAGCCACAAGGCTTACCGGAATGCAACACAGCTTCCAAGTGGCAAAGGACGCAGGCAGAGGGCCTCTCCGGGACACACAGGCGACGGACTCTTGCTGCAGCACCAACTCCGCAAGCGCCCAAGGCCCACCTGTCAAGCCTCTAGAGCCGGCATCGGCTGAATGGGATGACATGCACCGGAGTTAGACTATGCTCCTGCAGGCCCAAAAACAGGGACGACACATGGACCTGCCGTACAGGTCATAATGAATGCTATGTCCTCTTGTATACTGCTGCCGAGACTAGCCACCGCATTGTACATGGTTTGAACACTTTATTGAACACCTGCTCGTTAGCCATGCTCCTCTTTCCGCTATGTTAGCATGCTACTGATACTTACATGATGCACTAGTATATTAAGATTAATAGTATACTATATCGGTTAAACCATGAACCCCACTCATTAGGCACACAACCAGCCTACAGTTACTAGCATGGTAAAACCTCTGTCTGCTTGTTAACCTGTGAGTATACTCCTTCTAGGGCCTGTTAAGCCTTAAGTGTTAGCTTGCAAATGTAACCCATATTGATGAATATGTTAGAGTTCGAGTAATGAGGCACATCAAGTCAGTGAACTCTCTTATCGAAGTAACTATCTGTATAATCAACTAACATTAACCACGCCTAATCTACTTTATCTTGCCTTACAAAATATGTCTAAAACCATTATGTCACCTAAAAAAAAAAAGTGCTGTTTATCTATGCCACAAAGTTTGACATTGAGAAGCCTGTACTCGCTGTTGTGGCGCTACAGGTCCCTATGTTATGTAACCATATGCACATGAAAAATAAAGAATAATAAAAAAATTTAAAAACTGTGGCTAAACATGATCATCACGAATGACTTGCGATCCTTCCTCTGTCAGGCCTCAAAACGGGATGGCCTGGATTACAGTTAGCAAGTTTAGTGTAAGGAGAAGAAATCTAAATTCCAAAAAGTCATAACTCTGCATTCTCCATCAAGCACATGAGCCTCACTACATGCACTGCAGACGCCTGGTTGAGGAAGGGGTACAGCAAAACTTAGACCAGCACCCTGCAACAGTAACCAAGGATATCCTATTTGGGAATGGGTATTTGGTTTTGAGGACTCTCAAACTACGATCCTAGCGTTTCAATCAGCATTGCTGATAAGAAACATAAAAACAAAAAAACCCGATATCGGTCCAACTCAAACCTGGCCGATCAAGTGCCTTACTGGCTGTATCTCCCCGACAATGGACCTATAGCATACATTAGGGCGTCATATTTCATCATACACATTATTCATAGATTATCACGGGCTGCTAAACAACACATCATAAACAAAGACATGCCTCCAGGAAAAATGCCAAGGCTACACTAGCAGCAATATGTCATTGTTTTGTTTATAAATTTACCTAAGAGTGTTTTAGTCACCATGGTTACTTATGCAAAACTGCTCTGAGAACACATTGTATTATTATACCCTTAGACCTTGGAAACAAAAAACATTAAGTGTAATTTTATTTGCATTTACATCACCATATAAAATATCACTCAACAGAGCAAGATCAATTCTATCTGGAACGTCGTTCTTTTTAAAAGCAAAGAGAAAAGACAAGTTGTCAGAATAATAGCAAACGCCTTCACATTATCTACCAGCAAACACCTGACTTTCATGGCCTTGAGTCTATTTTCTTAGCATAGTTGTATCCCTCCTCTGTCAGGTCACGTAATCGCATTACTCAATAACACAGACAAGTATTTGCTTGTTTTTAACCTAGCTTTTCCAATTGAGCAACTTTTAATTCACCTCTTGGTTTTGGTGGACAGCATCTCTTTAGCGTGAAACTGACATCATCTGTGCGCAGAACCTGCCCCTTCAGGTGCTTCAGCAAATCCTTCAGCGAGTCGAAACCCTGGTCTAAGCCAAGTAAACAATATTTGCCGACTTTGACCTCAATTGGAAAATTTTTATACTGTTTCAAAGTTTTGGATTCGAGCTGCCAATTAGTAAAAAGAAATATTAATAATAAATAAAAACAAACATCAGAGATAGTGTCATTCCCACTGTCCTTACGTTCTGTTACAGTCATGTTGAACTTACCTGTGACGATCTGGAACAAGCCACAGTCATGAGGATATGATTAAAATCTGTACAGCTCCAGCGCAACACAAACATGCCCTCTTCGTTTCCCTCTTGCCTAATCTTATTTACGGCATATTCAGTGCTAAAATAGACAGAGAGAATAATACACAATTTAAAATGTGTGGCGGTAAAGTACAAGCAGTTCAATCGGGCACGGACGTATCTAGCTGACGCAAGCTGGTGTCAGTGAAATACAGAAGAGAAGCTTGGTATATTCTGGCACACAAATTCTATTATAAAAACACCTGTCACCTCCAAGACATTGGCAAGCAGAGTCCAACAAGGGACAGGCAATGAAGCACCACTGTATCACGTAATAGGCAACAGAAAATTGAAGCATGGACTTCACTGAACATAGCTTTTACCTTTACTGCTATACTAAACATTAATTTGTCAATTCCCAGCAACACAATTCTAAACTACAATACAAAATGCACAAGCTGGCCGAATAAACTCCTTTAAAGGGACACTGTAGGCACCCAGACTACTTCAGCTCATTAAAGTGGTCTGGGTGCCAACTCCCATCAACCGTAAAGGACCACTATAGTGCCAGGAAAACATACTCGTTTTCCTGGCACTATAGTGCCCTCAGGATGCCCCCACCCTCAGGGTCCCCCTCCATCCAGGCTCTGGAAAGGGGAAAGGGGTTAAATCTTACCTTTTTCCAGCCCTGGGCGGGGAGCTCTCCTCCTCCGATCCTCCTCCTCCTCGTCGGCGGCTGAATGCGCACGCGCAGCAAGAGCTGCGCGCGCATTCAGCCGGTCACATAGGAAAGCATTCATAATGCTTTCCTATGGACACTTGCGTGCTCTCACTGTGAAAATCACAGTGAGAAGCACGCAAGCGCCTCTAACGGCTGTCAATGAGACAGCCACTAGAGGAAATAGGGGAAGGCTTAACCCATTCATAAACATAGCAGTTTCTCTGAAACTGCTATGTTTATGAAAAAATGGGTTAACCCTAGCTGGATCTGGCACCCAGACCACTTCATTAAGCTGAAGTGGTCTGGGTGCCAAGAGTGGTCCTTTAACCCCGAGCATGTAATTATTGCAGTTTTTATAAACTGCAATAATTACCTTGCGGGGTTAAGTCCTCTGCTAGTGGCTGTCTACTTTTTCCATGGGGAGATCCTAATGTGAGCGCTGCCATTGCTGTGCATATGCATTAGGTTGGCGGGGGAGGAGCGTGGGGAGAGCTGAGCCAGGTAAGTGACCGAAGGGGTTATTAACTACTTTGGTGCTGCGGGAGGGGGCCTTGACAGAAGGGGAAGCTGCAGTGCCAGGAAAAAACAAGTTTATTTTCCAGGCACTAGAGTTTCCCTTTAATATTTACAGCTTATATTAAGACAGTGGTAGTACTTACTACCTTTGTTAAAAGATTTCTAATTTAAAATGGCTTGTTTTCTTTTCACACCTTGCATTGACGTTTTTTTAAATCCTTTCTTTAAAGTGAAATTTCAGCAGATTTAATGCAATATGCAAAACAAAGGCCAATTAACCAGATAAGACAAAGACATGCATTTCCAATTCTGTAAAGAGCAGCTGCAAAAACAGAGCAGTGGAGTAACGTTGACAGCTTTCAGACAGCCATTATAGATTTAATGAAACTGATATCATTTAGAAATGTCAAACTGTAACATTGGAAATATTCTCAAAAGGAAATATTACCACTTTAAACTGATCTTTTCAGTGGAGACGTCAGGTGACAGATACTTTACCAAGGTTTAGCTGTTTGATAAGCAAAATCAGACATGCACTTGCACCCCCACAGATATTGCCGATTATACTGAGGTTATTTAACGCAGTTGTGTGAAAATGGAATAATCACAGCAGAGACCAACAAAAAAAAGTTCCTACCGATTGTTTCACCTTAAGAATTGTAACCACAGAATTATCATCCAAACTGTACCATGCCTGAATTCCAGGACATGGAACGCCAGTCAGCCTGCATACGAGTCCAGAAAGGAAAGGGCAACTAATATACACTTTTTATTTGGCTTCAAAATCTGAATATTTGGAAAGACAAGTGGTTTGATACTGTATCACTAGACTGCAAATGTAATCCACAGTAACTAAAAATCCTGATTCATGTGAATACCAAGCATGACTTTTTTTTTTTTTTTTAAATTACTATATCATGTTATGTAAAAGCAATTTCTTTTCATACCATATAGGTCCATGACATCCATTCTTGATGTTTTCAACGATCAGAGGAGGGGCAACATCAGTGCACAGATAGTGATGAGCATCTGCAGTAAGTCTAAAGTACCCGTCCACTAAAGCAGTGAAGGAAAGTGCCTGCTCTGGTGAGAGAAGCTTTAAATCCTGCATGAAAAAGAACAATAAAACCATTGGAATTAAGGAACAGGTGTATCATGCACAACTTCTCAGAGAGAAGGTTGTTGAATGTCACTGAGAGGATCTAGGTTGATGAAAAACAGGGTGATTTAGAGAGAACTACTAGATACTACATAATATATACTGACAGAAGGGGCACTCACCATGCGTTTGTTGTCCTGACTGTAAACAACGACGGTGTCTTCCTTGATGACAATGTGTGTTATTTCAGGGAAATAGCAGAAGCTGATCCATTGGTCTTTCTGTTTCATCTGTTCTTCTGATCTTCTATTCTTGCCATCACCTTTCTTCCTCTTTGGTTTCTTCTCTTTCTCCGGTGCAAGGCACTACAATAAATAACACGGTTGCCACAATATAAAATTCACACCAAATAAAAAACAAATTAAAAATTTTTTAAAATAAAATAATAAATAATTTTTTTTTTTTTTAAATCGGTTATTAACACAAGCATGTATCCAAACCAGTTTAATCCTAAACAGAGCAATTGGGGCCCGAGAAGGGTGATGAGACAAACAGTGAATGTGCAACACAAGCTAAACATAACGGCCATAATTTGTTGCATTTAAAAGGAAAACCAAGGGGAGCGGAGTCTGACTGTCATGGAGGAGAGTCGCATGTTAAGTGAGCTCCTCTACTAATCTGCCCTACAACTTGCGTACAAACGCAATCTATGAAGAAAAAAAAAAAAAAATAGATTCTGCGATGCGGCAACCCGCTTACCTGCTTTACACACTTGGTGACAGACGACAAGCTGCAGAAAGTCTCCCTTCCTCCACTCTGCTGATGCAGTCTGGTAACTCAGCCCAGAGGGAACTACTTGCCAGCGAGACCCCCGTTTCCTCCCCCCTTGGACCAGTGGAGGTGATCCCGGTACACTCCTGGGAGGCAGCCCAGTGCTTGCAGACAGGCAGATCAGAGTCATCCAAGCCATCCAACATCACGGCGACACAAACAAAATGGCGGAAACCGCATGTTTACCTACCATCAGAGGCACTCTCAGACACGGAAGCCAGGATAAACAGGCACTTTGACGAATTCTGGAAGCAGTTGATTAACAGGCAACCCTATTGTGATGCACAGCATAACCCACCGGAATGCCAACATCAGGCTCCAGATCCCCATCAGAGGCTGAAAAGGTGATTACGGTGAAGGCTCCAACATGGTGGAAGCGCAAGCAGCAGAGCTCCATGAAACCAAAAGCGGCGCGGAGGCGGGAACCGACATGGAGCAAGCCACAACCATGCACCAAGCCTGTTAAGCCATGGAGAGCCCTGGTCCTGGTCACTGCAACGCACTGCCTCTCACCTGGGCCTCAAAGTCTGGCACGCTCCAGTATTGGCAGGGACTGTGCTCTACCGATACAAGGCATAGGGTGAATAGGGATTGTAGCATGGTTACTGCAGGGTTAACTATTAGCCTTAATGGATCACTATAGTGTCAGGAAAACAAAGCGGTTTTCCTGACACTATAGTGCCCTGAGGGTGCCCCCACCTTCAGGGTCCCCCTCCCGTGGCACTGAAGGGGTTAAAATCCCTTCAGTTACTTACCTTAATCGAGCGCCGGGCTCCCTCAGCGCTGGTGACCTCTCCGCACCCGCCGTCAGCGGATTCAAAGTGTCCGTAGGAAAGCATTTCTTAATGCTTTCCTATGGACGCTCTGCGTGATGGAGGCATAATATGCCTCCAGCGTCGCAGATGCGCCTCTAGTGGCTGCCCGGAAGACAGCCACTAGAGGCTGCCTTAACTCCAAATGTAAACATAGCAGTTTCTCTGAAACTGCTATGTTTGCATCTGAAGGGTTGAAACCTGTGGGACTGGCACCCAGACCACTTCATTGAGCTGAAGTGGTCTGGGTGACTATAGTGTCCCTTTAATTAGTTATATGGGGAAATACTCTCCTGATATTTTGTTTTGTTTTACCTCCTTCCTTATCTTCTCTCTGTGTCCAGCCAGGTCTGTTAGTCTTATACCTGATGTCTTATATTATTTTCTTTATAAGTGGCCTCCCAGGAAACATTCCCTCGCTCAGCTATACAGCCTCTGTTTATCTTTATTTTTGTTTAAATTTGTCCGACAAGTCAATTACCAAGCTTCGTTTCACCTTTCCATGTATGCACTGACTCAAGTTCCCTGTGCTCACTTTCAATATTTTATAAAATGTGCAAAGTATTTGCAATGCCTTTTGCATGCCAAGCCAATGTCCTTATATGTCTTTTAAAAAGCTAGCAATAGCTATTGTGGCGTTGCAGGAGTGTTTGTATCATCTATGCACCAAAAATAAAGATGTAAAAAAAATAGGAAAACCAAACATGAAGGGTTCTGCCTAATGAGAACATGTGACACCATGTAAAAATGCATATGTTGGCGAACATTCCAGTTCTTTCTTTTTGTTTTGGGATTAATAGAATCTAAAGCTTTTCCTTAAAAAAAGTCTTAGTAAAGCGACTCAATCTGTTTATTTGGAGATGAGTGCCAGAGGGACAAGTAGCATACTACACTACCATTCTCCTTACTGGCTCTGTATGGGTTAAATACACACAGTAGTACTACTGTATGCAACATGTAAACTTTCCTACGAAAACAGAGTAGATTCTGGCAGTGTAAATACAATAACGAGAGAGAAAAAAAAAATGTTCGATTAGGAAGGTCAGCTTCTATATAGTAAAACTACATATCAAACGGGAGAAATAAAAACCCTCCTCATGTGTTGTCTTTTAAGGGACACGCCAGGCACCCTGGTTATAGCTGCACAAAAAATGGCAAACATTTGTGCCCCCTTTTATTTTCACGAATTAGAACTTACAGTTGGCTTTTCTCTCCACTGTATCCCAGTGTTCCCAGTCACCATAACTTCGTACTCCAGCATACTGTGGCCAGCACTGAAACCATTTTGTTCACCTTCCAATAAAACCTTTAGATAACTTGACGCAAAAATCTCTGCTCCGTAGTTTTTCGTTAGCGTTTCCAGGGTTGACAAGTATTTAACCTTCAGGTCGTGTAGGGAGACGCTACTGTCACAAATGGTTTTGTTGTTAAATTCTTTCAGAAAATCTTTGAAAACATTATTTATTCGAATTCGTGTTAATACGTTTCTCTGCTTGATAGTTTTATTTAAGGTTTCCGGAATGTATTTCTTGTAACTAAAAAAATAAATAAATAAAAAAATACCAGTTATCTCTTTAAGAAAACTCATGGATTACAAATATCAAGAATGCGCATCAATTCCAATGATTTTAAATGCATTCTAACATTTAAGAGCTTAGCCCTCCACCCAATCGCAACATCATGGGTCCAAACAAATTATGTTTGTCTGCGACTGGCAGACCTGTAAGAATTAAACAGCACGTAAAGCAGATGCCAAGAAAGCCTCAAGGGTGTCAGGAGAGGACCGTGAAAAACAAAGCTTTATTGCAATGTAGAACATTTAAAGTATTTGAACATGAAGCAAATTACTTACACCATATTGCTAAAAATCTAAACAAAATATGTTTATCGCTTTCAATTTAAAGGACCACTATAGTGCCAGAAAAACAAACTTGTTTTCCTGGCACTATAGGGTTATTAGGTCACCCCACCCGCTGCTCTGAAGGGGTTAAAACCCCCTTCAGCCACTTTCCTTTATCCAGCGCCGGGCTGCCTCGGCACTGGTGACCTCTCCTTCCCCTGCCGATGTCAGTTCCCGAGTAGAGCCAAATGTGCATGCGCGGCCAGAGCCACGCGCATTCAAACCGCCCATAGGAAAGCATTACTCAATGCTTTCCTATGGAAGTTCAGCGTGATCAATGCGATTTTCACATTGAGGATTGCAGAAGCGCCTCTAGTGGCTGTCAGGGAGACAGCCACTAGAGGCTGGATTAACCCTGCAATGTAAACATAGCAGTTTCTCTGAAACTAAGTTTACAGCTGCAGGGCTAAAACTAGGGGGACCTGGCACCCAGACCACTTCATTGAGCTGACGTGGTCTGGGTTATTATAGTGGTCCTTTAATCATATGGGGTAAGACACACCTTTTTAAAATGTTAGTAAATTTATAAACATTCTAGCCATTAGTAACAGTAACTCTTGCCAAAATGCCTTCTTTTTTTATATAAAAATCTCATATGGTTATTCACTAAACACCAGGTTTCGTCCAGATGGCCTAATCTACTCCTTCTGGCGGCAGTGGGGCCCTAAAAATAACAACAATCAGGGGGAGTGTCCCCAAAGTTAGTAGATATGCCCCCACCTGAGGCATATACGAGTAAAATACCAACAAGTATAGGAATATAGGGGTCTATTTAAAATCAGGGGTGGACTACTTTTAATTTGTCACGAGGATATTAAATACCATGATATAACCAGCAAGAACCAGTCAAACGCTGGCAGCTCAGCAAAACAGGATTAAATGGAAACATAGCAGCATACTTCAATCCTTTCTCACATGGAGGGAGGAACTGTACTGTGAGAACACATACTTCAGGTATTTTTTGCATTAATTATATGCACATTTAAAGAGTCCCTATTATGGTACAGAGAAATCTGTGCCAAGAAAGAGCTGGATTAAAATGCATTCAAAATTGCAAACTAATGTATAGATTATATAGTAAACCTGTACAAAGATACGGCTCACCCACACCACACTGTCAGTATTTTTTGATACAGACGGATATGCAGAGGATTACACGACAAGGGAGAGCCGAAGAACCCTTCTACAAGTGGTTCTCCTGCTCTTCATTACAGAAACTGCAGTCAGTGCTTGTGCTGCAATTGCAGTGATATTCCTCCTAGCAAGTACATCCAACTACTATTGATGAGGCCTACTGCATTAACCTTATGTCCCTAGGTAGTTCAGGAAGTTGCATTTTTCTCTTGATAGCCAAATGAGATATCGCCAAAACAGCCATTCCTAGGCACTCGTTCTCTATGTCATGAAGTTCTTGATCAGTATTTGGATCTCTGACTGGTGCGAGACACTTCACCAACTCATACTGACCCTAAAGGAAACAAGAACAGAAACATTTGTTTTAGACTACATGCCTTTAAAACATGCACAGTTTACGATAAGAGGAAACACGAGTGGTAGCCATGTGTAATATTAAGCAACCAGGAACCAAGTTTTCTATTTTAAGCGCTATCTTAGCTGCAGCATTGACACATCAAGACTTTGCTCCCTGGCACCACTGTCAAGTTCAGGTGAGTCACACGTTTTCTCAAATCACTCATAAGTTAGAGTTTTGACTTCTTTATCAACAATTGGCATGAAAAGACCATCATATGATGAGAGATAAGAAAAGCAATACCTCATAAGAACTTATTTCCAAGAACGTAGAACATGGAGAAATGTACTAAATCAAACACAGTGATACCCGGTGGATGAAAACTCAGAAAGTTTAGCCTATGACAGATTCAGTTAAGCTTATTCAAATGAACCCTGTTAGGGTTATTCTCTAAAGTGATAATTCCAAATTTAAGGTCATATTGGCTAAACTGGAAACATTCCAAAAGTCAGATGTCAGTTTGACTATTTATGCCTTAAATTTGAAATTTACGCTGAATTTATCTTGAAATTTCACAGTAGTAAGTAAACCAATAAATTGTTGTGAACTGAACGGCAAGCTGTAATAAAAAGTAACATGTCAAATGCTTAAAGCATGAGCCAAGTCTCAATGTGTCTATGTGAGAAGCATCAAATTGGCCAAGTGATTATTAGGAACAAGAATTTCTCAATGGAGGGCAGTGGTGAGCAGCCATGTAACCAGTGAATTAAAGGGGGCAAAGTAGGCACAGGGTACTGCCCAACATTTCAGGGTTTTAAATAACTGTTTATAACACTGGACTGCTACTTTAAAGCGGAGTTCGAAAACTAGTCCAAATTCATTTCTGTAACCTAAAATTTGCAATTTGTTTTTCATATTTACTACAATTTTGGTATTAAGAAAAATAAGCCTTGCAGAGCTAAACGTGCTATAATGAACAAGGCTATCTAAACATGGCGCTCCACCTGGTGGCTAACATTACACAAAATTACAGGAATTACAGTCCCTCCACCCCAATCTGAACCCCACAATCCATAATATGAGCAAGAATGGCATAACTAACGGATAAGGATCAAAATAATAGATACCAGAATCACATTCCCTCTATATAAGATGCATTTATAAGTTTTGGATAACTTTTTTTTTCTACACATAGTAACGTCCCAGTCTGGGTCTAATGCTAATGGGCATGAATCCTCCTATCACAAACACAGGAAGATTTCTAAGATCCCACGGTTTATTAACTCAAGAATTATTAACAGATGATCTTTATGTAGGGCAATGTGATTGTAGGATTCCTAAAATAAATGCAATGTTAAAACCTCAATTAGGCTCCCTACATACATAAAATAATGTTTAAAGCAGCTCTGTCATCTGCAAGGATCATTGCATACTATCCCGCCACCATCATTCCTAGTTTGTTTTATGTATTTTAGGAGAAAAAGATTGAAAAAGAAGAAAAGAAGAACAGATTAGGAGGAAGGAAAAGACGAGGATCAGATTGAAGTAAGGAAAGTATTAAAGCAGGAGAAGGTTTAGAGGTATTGTTTAAGTATTAGGGCGTTTTGGGGTAAATTACAGTTATGGCTGCATTTTCCCTGGTCTGGTTAATGCGAACAGACAATTGTAAGGATTTTACTTGTAATTCTGTAGTTTGTGAATAACCAAACACAAAGTTATATAGAGATTTACCTGATTTTAACTGCAGCCTAACGGTAGTACAAATTTGATTGAAAGAACAGAAATGGCTTTTTGTGACAAGCCCAATATGTTAAATTCGGTTAAAAACTAACATTTTTACAATGGGAGATATTGCACTCTCAGTAACTGGTCTTTACTGTGTTTGATTAGAAGAGTCAAAATCATAATTAAAGAGACACTCTTGGACCAACTTCATTTATGCTCATTTATTTAATTTCATTGGAGTTTTTTCTATGTTCAAGACTATATAGTTTTGGTACAAAGGGGAAAAATGTTTAGCAGCTATGTGCCATAACCGCCTTTCAACACACTGTGTTCCTGGACTGGCTTCTGTCTCTTTCATACTCCTACCGAACAACGCGAGTGGAGCCAAGAGACCGTGTCTGCAGGACACACACAATACATGTAAGTCAGTCTGGCTGTAGTTCTGTCTGTAACATTATTATACGTTGTTTCACTTCTCCTGAGAGTCTACAGAAACAGTTAGCTTCCAGCTCAGATCTTGCAAAGATCACAGTTTGCTTCCTGTAATGACTCTCTATACTCCAAGTGCCTACCAATCGCTGCATTTACTGTTCTAGCCAATTCTACCAATCCTACTCCCCAAACTAGTCACCACCAATTGCTCTAGAAATGATTGTTCAGATATTACACCATACCCACCCATTTAGCCTAGATTTAAATATTGCTCTTACAATAGATTAACTTAATACACGTTAGCTTATTTAGCACTATTTAATTTGTCTCACACATTTGGAGTTAGTGTAGGGCCCACCGATATTGGGGTACTGTGAAGTAGTGGTGGGCTTAATACAATATGACCATAGGGTGGAACTGAAGCCCCATATTAGTTTGCTAAGATAGGCGAATTTAAGTACCCTGATAAGATTATTAGTGTATAATTATGTGTGCGACGTAACTTAATTTGTATCATGTATGAATATTGGTCACTATGGCGGCACCATTCCTGTAGAATGCATGTTTCGGGTGTGCTCCCTATCCTTTTTTCTTTGCCACGTGTGTCTTTGACATAATTTGTCCAAATACCACTGAAAAGATATTCTGCTTCCCTTTTTAAGAAAATCAAAACAAAACCCCATTTACTGCCAGCATCCATGTGTTTTACCTGTGCAAACAAATAGTCCAGAGAACTGGCATCTAGAAGAGGTGTTCCTTCCTGCCCCTGTTTCTTCTCATAATCCTCTTTCTGTTTTTTGGGATAATATCTCCAAATAGATGACTCATTTTCATTGGTTCCATGCCAGTTGGTAAAGATGAACCTAAAACATATTTAAATTCTGTAAATTAAGCTTATACGAGTTAAATAAACATATTTCAGAAACTGATATCTGGTAAGTTACCACTCTCTACCATGCTCTTCCCCCAGTGTTTGTTTTTGGGTTGGGGGCACAGACCAAACACCTATATCTGCTTCTAAATGATCTTCTGGAGGATCTGAAAGATGAGAGGAATCAAAGGGGAGATGTAGCCCTTTATGAAACTCCAATAAAATGTCATCTTCAGGCTGGAATCAGTTGCTCCAAAAGAGGAAACAAGCTTGAGTAACCCAGATGGGTAATTGGGTAACTTCACCAGGTTTATAATAGATGACATAGATCCTAGAAGACTCATGGAACTCCTGCCTGAGATGCTCTATTTCTCAGAACTATCTTGCTGCGGTATATTTGTTTTGTAGTTTTTAATAAAATGGAAGGAGTCCGTTCAACCAGTGCTTATAATAAACTTGAACATTTTAAAACATCCATTCGACGAAGCTCAGCCAAAAGAGGAAAACCCAGAATTGGAAACGTTGTCCGCACAGGTAATGGAACATGGACGCAGTTATAAATTAAATCCACTAAAAACATCCACATCCAGAGACACTAACAGCTTTGTTAGAAGACAAGGATTACAACTTAAATCTCCTTGTTAATAATGCTAAACCTAACTTGCTGTGATTGTCCTGTGTCAACTTGCAGCAATAGAAAATCTGATCCAATATGGCTACTCAAGCCACATAAAGTAATACTTCCTCAAAGAAGGTCAATATCAAATCAATATATTTAAAAAAAAATAATAAATCAAAGAGACACTAGAGTCTACAGAACAATATAATCACTGCCATTTCAATACCTCTAGTGGCAGCCACTAACACAGTAGGCAGCACTGACGTTCAACGTCTCCACGCACTGCATGGAGACGCTGAGCGTTCTTCATAGAGATGCATTGATTTAAGGCACCTCTATAGGGAGATGCTGATTGGAGCATTTTGCCGCACGTGCCCAATGGCCTCCCAATGCTTTCCTATGGGAACACATTGTATTGGCTGAGATCAGAGTTAATGATCTCAGCCGAGGACAAAACCCACGCAGCTTACGAAACAATGGTGAATTTACCACCATTTTTAAACTAAGGAGAGGCAGGCTGGGGCCTAAACTGTGATTTCAAAAATACAGTGTCTGGAATGCACGTTTGTATTAGTATAGTGTTTCTTTAATGGAACAAAAAGTGCTCACACATCTGTTCCTAGAGTTATATTTAGTACTAGAAGTGCTATGCCAAGTATCATCAGTGAAACAGGACTATCCTGACTGTTGACATCACAAGGAAATTTCAGCCACTTCATTCACCCAGTGATACATACAGGCAGGAACAAGTTTAAAGTATACAATATAGGTATTTAGATATTTCAATTCACAATCTGCAGCTCTGCCAGGACAATCACATCATAAAAATGTCTTTTTTAGGTTTCCTATCATTCTGCTCCTTTTAATAGGGATCCAACAATAAATGTAAATTTATAAAGATTCCAACAAGTCAAATTAATGAGCAGATTCCCAGTTGACAGAAAGTAATCAAAGTTGGAGACCATTCACTAACAAGCATAACTTACACAGTGCACAGCTTTATTGTAGCAGATAATCGATGTGTCTTTTTAGAAGGCAGTTGTTGTAAAGTAATGTTATCAATTAGTAACAATTGAACACTATAACAACACCTATTTTCTGATGTAAAAATCACCTATAACTTGCACTGACCTTTTTCATTAAATGGTCTGGGTTTTCTTTTTAACTGTATCTTGGAAATGTAATTGCCATCACAATCCAGTTTAGTCCTGGCACAACCAGGGCACACATTGCATTGTGGTGGTTTTGGTGCCAGAAGTGCCCTGTCCCAGTGTAATTTGTCAAAACATTTTAGAGCCGATTGACAATGTAACTGTGTTTCCCTGTAGTAAGCTCACATTTAGTCTCTTGCCGGATGATTGTATTCAGCTAAGCCTAGGCTATCCATGACCACGCTCATTGCCTGAGAGAGCACTCCGCTAACACTCTCAGCCAATGAGAGCAGTACTGCATAGCTCGGCTTAGCGCTGTAAATAAAACTAGATTCTACACCAGGGGAAAGGGGGCACTCTTGAAACCAAAAGTATTACTGGGGGCTGTAGCGCTTATTGTGCTTGGAAAGGGAGCGGGAGAAGAGGGGTGCAACATACATATTGCTGATTCTGTTAGAAAAAAAAGAAAAGAAAAAAAAAAAACACACATACATACCTGACACGGTAATAAAGTTTGAGACAGGTGTTGGCCTCAATCTTGAACGTGTGATTTGGTGCATACCAGAGGTTATCTTTTTCATTGTACAAGGCAAATAGATTGTGGCACAGAGGAGATATATCTTAAAAATAAACAAATAAAAATCACATATGTATTCTTTATGACATGGGCACACACATGCCATTCAATAATATAAAAACCATTGTCTTAATTTTCAAAAAGTTGAAACTATCCATTATATATACAGTTAGAATTTGTATTGCAGCAACATATTCGACAGTGCTGTACAATAAGACAAACATTTCAAGGGACACTATACCCACCAAACAACTTTAGCTTAATGAATCAGTTGTGGTGTATAGATAATGCCTTTGAAGTTTCACTGCTCAATTCTCTGCTAAATGACACTACTGATCAAACATCCAATTAATAATTGTTCTTTAACTCCTAAATCATCCTTGTATTCTAATTAAGTAACTGGTGGCCTTATATTACTGGAGAGGTTTATTAGGGCCAATATTGAGTAATTGACCGCGCACCTGTATTGTATTTTCCCATTTCTGTATCGCACTACTTTATTCAATATCCTTTATTATTTATTACATTTGTTAAATCAATTTTGTTGATCGGATACTTCTTATGCATTGTATTAAAATGGTAAACTATATTTCATAAAAACGAAATATTGTTAAATAAGAAAATATAAACAATGTGACAAAAAAAATCTGCAGTGAAACAATTCTTACTGCACAAATACAAAAAAAAAAAAAACAACTACTTACTGCATATTAGAGCAGACTTGACACACAATTCCTCAGCCGTGTAAACCCCTTCTAATAAATAGATGGGAGATTTATCCGTTGAATAGAAATTAATCTCCAATCCTTCCCGTATGCATACGTCCAGCTCGGGTTTCTTGGAATTTCTAATTTTTGCACAGAAAGCCATCATCCTCAGACGTTTTCAGACATTTAGATCCTGTAGAAAAGAGACAAATAAATCAGCGGATTGCCACCAGGGTTTAGTAATTAACAAATGACATTAAATGCAGTGAATGAAAAATCCAGATTTTATAAACACTGCAAATAAATGTTGATGTTTACATACTGAGACAGTATTTGATAACAGAAATAAAGTGCGCCTGAAAGGTCCAGTTTAAATATGAATATTAAAAGTACAATTCTATAAATAGCCCTCCAATATAATGCATGGGAAGTAACTCTGTATCCAAATGTATGGTTGAGCACTTGTGTCTCCTCTCCTAAAGGCGATATTGCGTTGCAATACCAATTTCTAAACCCACAAGATGGCAGTTTCGTGATCTTATCACTCTTTCCTCCATGATATTGGCTGTCCAAAAGCAAGACTGAGCTTTTTAACTGGGGTCAGGGATTTGGGAGGAAGGGGCTTTGGGTACCCCGGGCACTGAGGGGACTAAGCGCAAGAGGAGTTGGTAGTGAAAGTATCGGGGTAAAATACTAATACTAATAATATTGAGCGTACTAAACCTGCGGACATTATGGCGGATTCAGGTCACTGGGGTTAAAAACATACAGAGTAGACTGAAGTCAAGAGATTGAAGGAACTACGTTAAAAAAACCCAGCAAGAGCAAGGGTAACAAGGGAACTAAGACTATTAGCATTCAGTATCCCAATAACAATGAGGGGGCTAGTCTAAAGGGATCAAAATGTCCACATGCTCATTCACAAAAAATGAGAGAACATTGAGCAGCGGTGAGAGAAATTCAGATTACAATTAGATAGAAGGAGGTTTAAGTTAGAGTAAAAACACAGTTACCACTGCAATGATGTGTGACACACTACGGCAGGGGTAGGCAACCTTTTAGCAGCACTGTACCGAAATATGATTGTGATGTCCCGTAGCGTGTCAGTCCTATTTCTTTAAACTTTGGTGTGCATGTTGCTATATTCTGCTTGTGTTATTTATACTGCAGTTGCTTTGTATCGTATTTGTGCGTATATGAGCTATTATATTGTATATGTTCATTAATAGTTTGTGGTGGTATGTATAATACCTATGAATTTGGGCTGTGTATGGGGGCTGCTTGTAGAATTGTGTGTGGATAGATATGTCACATTGTGTGTTTGGTAGTGTGTGTATGTGTGGGGCTGATTGGGGTATTGCATGTGAGAGGCTGCATGTGGGGTTGTGTCTATGTATGTGGATTGTTGGTGGTGTGTTTGTGCGGACTGTGTGTGTGTTTGTGTGTGAGCGGTTTGTATGATGGGAGGGTTATTCTGCAGCTCTGTGTATACCTAGCAGTTTGGGAGGCTTCCCTGGGTTTTACTGGGGACCAGGCTGGCCAGGTACAGCTCAAGGACAGAAGCTGCAACAGGAAGCTGTGGGCTGCTCTACTCCAGTGTGGATTCCCATTCACAAGTGCTGGGAGGAAGTGATCATAGATCACTTCCGCTACATGCTGCAATGCATAAATGGAGGATTGTCCTTCAACACCTTTTTTGTATTAGCAGATATATGAAGTTTCACTGGGACTCCTGACCGGCCCATGCATGGCACTAGTGCCGTAGGTTGCCTACCCCTGCACTACGGCATCCAGCATGACTTCAACGGATTCTCCCTTCATCCCCAAATTTATATAAAGGATACAATTAGATTTCCCTCATTTTCATATAAAGCATTGCCAATACAATGTTACATTTCCAGCATTGTTAGATCCTTATCAACATGACAAAGACTGTAGAATCTTAGACTTTGGAATAACCTAGTATTAATTACCGAAGACGAATATGCACACACAAACCTGAAACGTGTTTTTGTGTCACTTATGTATTACTACAGAGTCAGCTGAACAGCTATGAGAGATGGATGCTCGCAAATATCTTAAGGAAAAGCCGCTAAAATGAAGACAGCATCTGCTGGAGTAAATGGAGGAGTATATAAAAGGAACAGCAAGCATGTGATCCTAATACAGAAGAACATATTTAGAAATTCATTATGAAAGGGCTGACATGGCCATAGTTCTGTAAAATGGAAAACATACACTTTAACAGAAACAAAAAATAACACATTCGTCTTCAACTTTCTGCCCAAACTTTTGTTAGGGGACCGGTTTTCTTTGGAAGATCACCACTTGCCTTCTCTGCATCACTATCTAATTTCAATTAATATTCATGACATGATAATCAATGAGAATTTTACTTAAACCGCATTCTGTCCCGGTTTTTGTAATGTAAAATAAAATCAATCTGCTTTTGCTTTTTTTTTTTTTACAACACCAATTTGCGACAAGAGAATTTAAAAGTGAGTTACAAAGAATTTGCTTCCTTGACTCATGCGCTTTACAAAGCATGGGGGGATTAAAAGAATGTAATTGGAAAAGATCTCTTGAAATAAAAAAGGGCTTATTCACTAAACACTGCGTTAGAGTGAACAGACAGTGCTGTATTCTACATCTCTGCTACTTTGGCATTAACAAAGTACTCTAAGCACTACTGTAGCGGTTATGGTGCCAGGAGCTCCCTGGTGCTGTGCCGCCTCACTGTTAGAAGTTTAACTGTTTACCTGGGTCCCCTGGTCTCTGGTGATCTGTCCTCTCAAAGAAATCTCTGAAGTAGAAGTTCCCCTTCTGCATCAGCAATACACGTTTTTGTTTTAGATCAGTACATAATTGAAACAGGTAAGTATCATATCATACAAAAACAGTGTCATTCTTAACAGGGGGATTACGTCATGGGACTCCTAACACAATAAATACTACAGCTAGCTGTAGTTGTTATGGTGTTTAGAGCCGCACTTTAAATGAAAGGTCTCATTGAGTGCATAAAGCCCAGTGCCTGTGAGGAAGAGAAATTGATTTCCATCTACATAGTAAAGGTTGCTGGGAAGACTGCTTCAACAAAAGGTAAATATGTTCATATATATTCCACAAAGCGCATCACACACACACACACATTTTTTTTTTTTTTATAATTGAAGTTTATTGTTTTACATTCAGTTAATACATCTGCTATATTCCACATTAACATTGTCACATTTTTCGGTATACAGAGTCAGACAGTATTAACCCTTTAAGGACGCAGCTTCAGAAGCTGGACATACCCTTAAGGACTCCAGCTATTTTTGCTGTTTGTATTCAACTGCACTTTGCATCGCTCTCATTTATTGAATCAACCCATATTATATATAGTTTTTTAAAGGACAAGATGGGCTTTACTTTGATGTGACTTATACAAATATAAAATCTAATTTATTATAAAAAAAAATTATATAAACTTTTTTTTCACAGTTTTGGCAATAATAGTGTGTGCATAATATGTCCAGCTTAGGAAAAGAAATTCAAAATAAATTCATTTAGGTATCTTGTTTTTCAAAGTGCATAATATGTAAAGGATTTCAGCTTATTTTAAAAGTTACAGGTCACAAAATACAAGGAGTAATATAAAATTTAAATGTGAAAAAAAATTAGAAGTTGGTATGTTTGACTTGTAAGTTTAACAGCCGTCACAGAAAACAAAATTGCTACACAAAAGTATATATTTATATAAAGAAGACATCACAGCCTATTTATTTAAGGTTATTTTGACAATTTTAACATAGCCATTTTCCCACCAATCTCTGCTACATATTGTAGTAAAATTGTGTTTTTTCAGTTTTTTGAAATACACACATATAACAAGGGTTTTTAAATGTGTATTTTGTAAAGCTGCTGTGTGCTATTCCTGGTCAAAATCCCATTTTGTGTTCAACTACATCTCCTGGGTACAACAATACCCCCATTGTTTGCCTTTGCCACTATTTTGGGAAGCTACAATGACATATAAGAGGCCAGACTATTTCAGTTTCTACAGTTAGAAAATTCAAAGATGGATTTAATGGACCTATGTCTTATTTTGGGGCATTATAGTAGCTTGGTTGTTCAAATGACCACACAAAGGCCTTCCATTTGTGAAAGTAGACACTCCAGGGTATCTCATACGGCATATATTTTGCCTTAATGGGTCACCATTATACGTCACAATTTGTGTTAAAAAAATATTTTTCACATTTGTTACTTAAGCATTACATTTGTGCTGGGCATTTTGTATATTTGATATGTTCCACTATGATCAAACACCCCTAATTATGCTCAGCTAAGTCTTCTGAGTAAAACAATACCCCCAATGTATGTCTTTGACACTATTTCGTGATGCTACAGTGCCATAAAGGAGACATGACCATTTCAGTTTTTAGAATAGAATTTTGAGAGACGGATTTGCAGGGCTTATGTTTCAATTTGGGCCATTATAGCAGTTTGACTGTTTCAATAACCGCAAAAAAGCCTACCATTTGTGAAAGTAGACACTCCAGGGTATCTCATATGGCATATATTGTGCCTTAACATGTCGCCATTTTTTCACCATTATATGTCAAAGTTTGTGGTAAGAAAATATTTTTCGCATTTTTAACTTATGTGTTACATTTGTGCTGGGCATTTTGTATATTTGATATGTTCCAATATGATCAAACAAACCAAATTATGCTGAGCTATCTCCTGTGAGTAAAACGATACCCCCAATGTATGCCTTTGGTCGTATTTCCTGAAGCCACACTGCCATAAAGGAGACCTGACTATTTCAGTTTTTACAGAATTTTATAGGTTTCTGACTCTTTTTGGGGTCTAATAGGTTGCTTATTCAAACTTCCCCCACAAAGGCCTACCATTTTTTTAAAGAAGACACCCCAGGGTATTTTAAAAGGCCCATTTTGAACCTTAGGGTGGGATCATTTTTTCGCCAGTGAGTACCATGTCTAGTAGTAGTAAGCATTTTCTCTGCCTTTTTGACACACACTTTGAGATTTTACTGCATAGTTTACAATCCTTAGGTGTGCTACGGCAGTATAACGCTTCATATGTCACTCAGCTATGTCGTTTCAGTACAGCAATACCCCCGTGTGTACCTTTCCCAGGTATACGTGGATGTTGAAGGGGCAAATTTGAGACTCTGACATTTCAGGTTTGTTTCAAACTTTGAATTTTCATGCTGGTCCATGTCCCATTTTGGGTCAAACTGAGGCATTGTCTGTCACCTCTGAATCTGCTGTCAGAACTCTAACTGTACTTCCTAAGCATTTTGAACTTTTTACATAAGAACTTTAACAAAACAATGTTATAATAATGTTATTTTTTTTTGTGGATTTTTTTTATTTGTATTTTTACCCCTAGCATACGCACTAAACTCCCCAATTTCCCAGGAACTATCATCCACCCCAACTAACTAAATAAAAGTAAAAAAAATATTATTATAGAGACAAAAAGGTGTTCATACTGACTACCATGCACACTGAGCACACACGCAGGGTCGCAGTCCGTGGCAGACAGGAAACAAGACGGCTGCCTGTCTGCATTAAGCAATACAATAAACACATGGGGGGAGTTGACCTGTCTGATCAACTGCTGCAGCCATATCTGATAATGAAAAAGACCAAGGCCTGGTATAAGAAAGTGGGCATTTATTTAATGCAAATGGCTACTCACAATGCATTCATCCTTTTCAAAAAGGCAAATCCTCAGCTGAAATGTAGTCTTCTTACATTTCAGTTTCAGCTAATTTCTGTGCTGCTCACTGCTTGCCTAGCAGCAGAGATATTCAGACAGGTCACTTCTGCTTTCGGATACCACCAACCCCCCCCCCCCAAAAAACCCCAGTAAAGGTGTAGGCTGTGTTACCAGAGAGGAATTCGAACGGAGACCAGTGTCTATTGCCCTGATTGTCCCTCTCAGCCTGGCCTTTGTATTGGGAACTGTTTTAAATTATTTCATACTCAGGGTTTTTTGGGGGGGGGGTTGGTGGTATCCGAAAGCAGAAGTGACCTGTCTGAATATCTCTGCTGCTAGGCACGCAGTGAGCAGCACAGAAATTAGCTGAAACTGAAAAGTAAGAAAAGTACATTTCAGCTGAGGATTTGCCTTTTTGAAAAGGATGAATGCATTGTGAGTAGCCATTTGCATTAAATAAATGCCCACTTTCTTATACCAGGCCTTGGTCTTTTTCATTATCAGATATGGCTGCAGCAGTTGATCAGACAGGTCAACTCCCCCCATGTGTTTATTGTATTGCTTAATGCAGACAGGCAGCCGTCTTGTTTCCTGTCTGCCACGGACCGCGACCCTGCGTGTGTGCTCAGTGTGCATGGTAGTCAGTATGAACACCTTTTTGTCTCTGTATTTCAGAGCCAGCAGTTCGTCCTGGCAGAGAGTAGCCGTTTCTCCCTTTTTAATTTTTTTCTCTGCCAGAGCCTTGGGGAAGCCAGTGCGTGTCTTGCGGATAGTGCCGCAGACCACAGTCTCAAAACAATATAGCATTTTTTGGAGGGGTATGTGTTTAGAAAATGGAATTTTAATTGACATTTTCTTCTTTATTCAGTATTTTTCCTGTGTTACTACTTGTATAGTGAATGTATTAGTTCGTTAGTTTGAAACTACCGAACGCCGACCACCCTCCTGGCTTATTAACTACAAAGGAACCAGCTATTAAGTGCTCCCTGGGCGGCCACTGTTCGTATAGCCGAACACCACGTGGAATAGAAAACGGCGGCCATCTTGTTTGCACGAGCGGAGTCAGCGGGACTTGATCATCGAGTGTCTGGAACTAAAATTGGACACTCGACCTCGTGAACCACCGCTGAAACTACCGAACGCCGGCTTCTTGTATTTCCTGAACAGCCAGGGAAGCGCCGTTCTGTAGTTCTATGCGAACGTACAAGGGGAGCAATCGTTGCTATGAGCCAGGGGGATCCATTCGGGACTTTTGTTCGGTTTTTAAAGATTTGTGAATTGACCAACCGCACACGGTGAATTCATGGAACTGTTTTGGGCAGGAGCCGCGTGTGTGCTCGGTAAAAGGGACCCTCCACACTTTTTCAGAACCCCTGAACCAATCAGGCTATCAGGGGATATGTAATTTGTGGGGATACCTTGTGGGGAAAGGGGTGTTCTAAGTTTTGGGGAAATTGTGTGCTCTCTGCCTGGAGATAATTGGTTTATTCCTTAACTTATCTCAATATCACCCAGGCAGAGAGGAGGCGTGTATTACTGTAAATCTGTACGCTGATTGGCTGTTGTCGTTGTTTGCTGTGGGAGGTCCTCTTGCAGGAGGATTTCTCATAAAAGCCTGTGTGTGTCAAAAAAATTCATTCCTGTTACACCCTTCATGAAGTCTAGGCTCATGTTTGGGGGATATTCTACTTGCTGGGAAGAATCACCTTGGAACTGCATTTCATCTACCTTATTCCTCTACTCCCTGCTGCAGCTATAATCACTCATGCTCAGCTGTTGGGAAAGGGAACAGAAGACCGCAGCACCATAACCACTGCAGGTCTTAACAGTATGCGATTGTAATAATCAAGGTAGAGGTGGTACCCCTTGTTCAGTAGTGGGTTCATTAGGTCCCAAACTATTTTTCTGCTAGTCCCAACTACATCAGGGCAACCTGGGGGATCCCAGTGGCTATCTTTACCTTCATATACTCTGAAGGTATAAACATACCCACTGCTACTTTCACATAACTTGTTTAGCTTGATGCCATACCGGGATCTTTTGGCTGGGATGTATTGCTTGAACCCCAGTCTACCCTTGTATTTCATTAGGGACTCGTCAATACATATATTCTTTTGGGGAGTATAAATTATGCCAAATTCTTTATTAAAATGGTTAATTAGGGGGCGGATTTTATAAAGTCTGTCATACTGCGGATGATCTTTGGGGTAGCACTTCGAATTATCATTAAAATGCAGAAAACACAAAATAGCCCTCCTGCTACCCGGGGACAGCCCTTGAGTTCGGAGGAACTGGGACACAGGGACTCCCCGAAATATAAATGTCGAACACAAGCACAAATACCATCCTATGACCACCTCCCACCCTGAAAATCTACTCACACAACGTTAGGGGACTAAACATCCTGGTTAAGAGACACCTTCTATACCGAGAGATCAAACACAAAGCAGTAGACGTTCTATGCCTCCAAGAGACACATTTCATGACCAACGCACACCCCACCGTCCTACAGAAAGATTATCCTATACAAATCCACGCCACATCGGCTAGCAAAACCAAAGGCACTTCCATACTAATTAGCAAAAACGTGGCCTATGCCCCGCATTCCCAACACATTGACCCGGACGGAAGATACGTCATTATAGTAGGCACGCTCAATGACATGCCTTACACCATAGCGAACATATACGCCCCCAACACAAACCAACGAAATTTTTTACATAAAATTATACAGAAACTGCAGTCAGTACAGCTAGGGACGACAGTCATATGTGGCGACTTCAATCATGTATTTGACACCTCCATAGATACGACACTAGCTCCAGCTAGAAAGCGCAGCGCACCCCTCCGCAAACAAAGTAAAGCACTCTGCAAGCTTATACACAATAACCATCTATATGATGTATGGAGAGCCAATCATGTAGGGGAAAGAGGGTATACATTCTTTTCGACAGTGCACAACACCTACTCCCGCATTGATGGCTTCCTTATCTCAGGGACGGGGATAGACCAAACGGCCCAGTGCGAGATAGGACAAATTACATGGTCCGACCATGCCCCGGTAGAGCTAACGCTGAAAAACCTCTATGACCCGACCCATAGAAGCCCGTGGCGCATAAACACAACATTATTGAAAGATAGTGCCTTCTGCACGGAGCTGAACCAAAACTTAGCCCAATATTTCCAAGACAATGATCGGCCTGAAACGAGCCGGGGTACCCTGTGGCAGGCCCACAAATCGGTGATACAGGGACAACTGATACAGCGGGCAGCGTACTTAAAACGGAAATCCCGCCTTCAGCTCCACACATGCCAAACAGACCTCCAGCGTGTCACGACACAAAACCAAATAACTCCCTCACACGAACTGTGGGAACAAATCAGGAAACTCACAAGACAGATGCACCAAATGTCCTTGGAACAAGTGGGATACCACCTGAAAAGGCTAAAAGCACAAAACTACACACAGGGAAACAAGGCAGGTAAACTGTTAGCACAACGATTAAAGTCACAACAAGCAGCCCAAAAAATAGCGTACTTGCTGTCTCCAAGCGGACAGAAAATAGTGGCACCCAAAGACATTAGCAACGCATTCGCCAAATACTACGAAGCACTGTACAATCTCAGGGACGACCCAAATACACCCCAACCACAAGGGGCCAAAATAGCCTCCTACTTAGACAAGATCGCCCTGCCCAAACTTACACCCGCTCAGCAAGATAGCTTGTCCGCATTGATAACAGAAACGGAGGTGTTGAGAGCGATTGACTCTCTACCTTCTGATAAAGCCCCAGGTCCAGACGGGTTCGCCAACTGTTACTACAAGTACTTCCAAAGAACCCTAGCCCCTCACATTACTAATGCTTTTAATGAAGCAGCCACGAAACACGCACTCCCGCCAGAAGCCCTCAAAGCTCACATCATTACACTGCCTAAACCGGGCAAGCCACCAATCCACCCACAAAATTTTCGACCGATATCACTACTGAACACAGACACGAAACTTTTCGCGAAAATATACGCCATCAGACTGGGCACGATCCTCCCACACCTGATACGGAACGATCAAGTAGGATTCGTTAAAGGGAGAAAAGGGGGGGGGGGACAACACGAGAAAGGTCATCGACATTATACATAGCGTTCACAGGCAACATACAGAATGTGTAACGCTCTCACTAGACGCGGAGAAGGCCTTTGACCGCCTGAGCTGGAGGTTCCTGTCAGCGGTCCTGGATAAGTTTGGGATGCCGGGGGCATTCTGCTCGGCGGTGGAGGCCTTATACAGCAAACCATCGGCACAGGTGGTCACGGCGGGTTTCACTTCAGAACCATTTAGCATCACTAACGGTACGAGGCAGGGATGCCCACTCTCCCCCTTACTATATGTGTTGGCTTTAGAGCCGCTAGCAGAGACAATACGGGCCAACAGCTCCATACACGGAGTAACAGTGGGCGACAGGGAATACAAAATCAACTTGTTTGCGGACGATGTCATGCTGACACTAACGCAACCCCAAATTTCACTACCAAACCTCATGGAAGTCATTAAAGAATACGGCTTTAACTCCTACTACAAATTAAATGTCGCTAAATCACAGGCTATGGGTGTGGGAGTCCAGTCTCACCGACTGAAACACTTGAGTGAGCTTTTCTCATTCGACTGGAGGAAGGATTATATTACCTTCTTGGGCGTCCATATACCCCCCCACCTACCCCATTTGTTTAAGCTAAACTTCACTAAACTGATCAAATCATTTACAGACACGCTACACACATGGGAGGGTAAATATCTCTCGTGGCTGGGCAGACTGGCGGCGATTAAGATGTCTATACTTCCCAAACTCCAGTACCTGCTGCGCACGGTCCCGATAAGTCTGCCGGGCCCATACATGAGCACAATCCAAAAGCTGATCGTGCGGTTTGTATGGACCAACCGCAAAGTGAGGGTGGCCAGCAAGCTCTTACAAAAACCGATCAAGGAAGGGGGACTGGGCATGCCCAACATCCGTTCTTATCACACAGCCACATTGCTGACTGCCATAGCAGCGACAAACGCAGTAGAAGACCCCCCCCCCAATGGGTCCACATAGAAGCACACTGGGCATGCAAACAGGGGCTGCGACACCTATACCAGCTGCCATATAAACTACGACCGACATACACAACCATGCTACCAACCACGGCAGCAATGATTAAAACATGGGACTCTGTGAGGGCGACACTGGGCATGGTCGGACCAAATATAGAGAATATCCCACTCATGAGCATCTTAGTGGGCATACCGTCGTTTGACCACACCCCCTGGGTGAGAGGGGGATGTACCCACCTTAGCCAGTTATGCGGGAACAACGGGTTACTGCCGTTCCCAGAACTGCAAACCAAATTCTCCCTGCACTCCAGACACATATTCCCTTACCTCCAACTGAAATCATTTGTGGCCTCACATTGCAAGGGATCATGTGCAGTGCCACCAAACATTGGCGCCTTAGAACAGATATGCCTACAGGGCAGTATACCCAAAAAAATCCTGTCGAAACTATATGCACTACTGAATACAGCAGATACGAACAGACACAGAGACTTTAGAGAAGCCTGGCAGGAAGACATAGGACACCCAATAGCAGACCTAGACTGGAAACAGGCATTCCAAACGCACAAAGGGCACACATCTTGCGCGACTCATCTAGAAACAATGAGGAAAGATGGTATATGGTCCCGGATAAACTAGCGAAACTATACCCTGGAAGCTCAGGTGAATGCTGGAGGAGGTGCGGAGAAAGGGGGACAATGTACCACATTTGGTGGACTTGCCCGATAATCACTCCCTACTGGGCGATGGTGGAAGGGGTAATCACTGATGTGATAGGCCGCCCATACAGCCTGGGGCCTGAACAGGGCATACTATTCATGCATCTGGCCCAATGGCACAAGCAGGAAAGACAACTGATATTCCAAGTGCTCATGGCGGCAGTAACCCTGATAGCCAGACAGTGGAAACAACCACAAGCACCCAGCAAACACGATCTCCTAACACAAACATCTACAAACTGGGAATACGAGGCTATGGCAAATAAATACATTACAAATAACCACATGCTCATAGATACGAAAAATACGTTCAGAGAAGTTCGCACAACTCCAGAACTCAGGACGCATAGGTACGCCAAGACAAGAGTGTTGGAATAGAGTACCAAAGCCAGAGTGACGAGGAACGTCTGAGATTTAATTTGGGAGGAGGTCCTGACACGTAGAACCAATGATGCATTGGAGGCAGTCAGGTAGAACCAACAACTAAGTAGCATGGGCCCCAAGGGAGGGCAAGGAGGTGCACCACTCTCAAGAGGTCTATAAACTAACCCCCTTCCCCTCTCTTCCCTTAATTCTTTCCCATCCCTTCTCTGCACACCCTACCAAACCCCCCCCACCCCCCCCACAACTATCGTGTTACTACTTGATGGGTAACTAGGCAGCCGCTCCAGCGAGCAACCCGCTGACAGCTCAGGTACGCTCAGCCCAGATGCGGCCACCAGACAACCACATAACGCTAGCTCCCGAGGGGAGAAGAACCCAGACTCCCTGCAGGAGGCCAGTACACAAGGATAAGGGATCGGTACAAAACACATGGGATACGGGCGTGCAACACAACACACGCACCGCAAAATTAAAACTAAGTTACCCACCAGACGCGGGATCAACCACACACGTAGTGATACTATGCCCAGCACTCCAGCCTACACTTGTGACTCCGAGAGAGGTAGCAAACACGGATTGGGGAAAAAATGAACGTCTAACGTTTAATGTGTAATGGTTGAAGTGTATAAGCTAGCATTGGAAATGTGGAAAGCGGGAAGGGTGATGTGAACTATGTGATGTGATATATGTACATTGTACTTACCCATGGCAGAACGTGTACGTGTAAACAACGTTGCCTATATCCCTCCCCTTTTTTATTCTGTACCCCCCCCACACACTGCTTTTTGATGTATGACAAAATAAAAATTGTCAAATTGAAAAAAAAAAAAATGCAGAAAACGCAGTACTGATTCGTTTCTGGGCCTAGTCATGGTCTGAGAGAAAATGGGAGTATTGCATACTGGGTTTTTGGACCAGTACATTTGGATGCTGGGCTTTTTTATAATTCCCATTAGCATGGTTAGTGCCCAGAACTGTTTTAACTCTGGCACACTGGTGGGGTACCAGCTCCCTTTTGTGGCAAGGTGACTTGCTGCATTTTGTGCCAGATACTGCACTGCATAAATATTTGTCTGTGTAACTATCTGCCCTAAAAAAATCATCCCCAAGGAACAGCTCCATAAAATCCTGGGAGTTATAGCTGGTCACGTCTCCCTGAATACCAGGAGTCACCAGGGACAAAATTGTTAGGGGGAACCCAGTTATCAGCGCCAGGAGCAGTGCCAGGGGTATCGTCACTTTCTTCATCTGTGTCTGGCACATAGTCACCCTCTATACTCTCTGAGGCAATGTTGGTTGCATCTGAGTCGGCTGCTAATATATTATATGCCTCCTCGGCACTAAACCTTCTAAGCATAGTGAAAGCTTAAAATTAACTTTAACTAAATAACTTTTTTTACCTTTTTTTATACTTTTTTTTTTTTACTTTTTTAAAACTATTAACTTTCTAAAACTTTTTAAAAAAATGAACCTGTGGGTAAAAACAGAAATCAGATCACCTCTAAACACAGTGCTTACACCTAGCAAAGCAGAAATGCTTTGCCTTAAAATAAACTACTTTTTTTCTCTTTTTACCTTTTTTTTTATACTTTTATAAAACTTTTAATAACTTTCTAAAACTTTTCAGCTTCCTAGCTACACTAATGCTAAATTCACCAATTCCCCCTAGCTTCAATCCACCCCAGCTAACTAATTAACTGAAAATAGTAAAAAAAATAAATAAAAAAAGTAACCCGAGGATTAAAAAAACAAAAACTCTGATCACAGTAAAGTACTGTGATCAGTATTGTGATCATTGCCATCAGTGATCAAAGGGTTAAACCCTTGTTAATTTTAAAAGGAATAGTAGTAAGGTTTTGTGTTTGTTTTTTTAAACTTTGAAACACTGTGTCTGTCAGGGACACAAAGTTTCAAAAGATCCGTCTCTCTCCACTTTTAATCACACACAGAGGTGGAGGGAGGAGGGTCAGAAGTCCCAGCTGCACTGTGATCGCTGTGACTGGCTGTCACAGCGATCACATGTGCTGGGACAGCACTATTGGCTGTTGCTGGGCTTCCTCAAATGCCGAGGCACCCAGCAACAGCGTTAACCCCGCGATTACGGCGATCTGGCGTTAACTTTAGTAATTGACGGAAATTTTCAGTCAAGCGTTCTTAAGGGTAGGTCTGCCTTGACGGAAAATTTACGTCAAGCGTCGTTAAGGGGTTAATACACGTGCCAGGTCAAACAGCCTAACGTACAGTATTTCATGTAGAGTTCCATAAACTGTCCCCTATGTTGTTGTGTGCCATAGTGACTGGTGGCTGTCAAATCTATACCCTCCCATCGCTGGAGTCATGCTGACACATCATTTCTCAAAAATTTGTCAGGTCCAAAAATGACCTGCCGGTGCTAGCCTGGGGTCTTTTACACACACTCTAATGTGAATTTCTACTTGCCTGGGCTGAAATTTCAATAGCCAATGGCTAGTGGAAAATGAGCCCTATGTAAATACACAAACTGCTTCATCTGATAGCAAACCGACTGATACTTTTTAGTTCACCCCAATTTATGCGCTCAGTAGATCAGCAAAGAACAACTTTAATTGCGGAAGGAAGTCAAAGATGTAGGGAAAGAAGAAAAAAAAAAAAAAAAAAAGAAAGTTCAAAAAAGCTAAATTATTGCTGAAATTAGGCCGGGTGATTACTATAAGCAACCACATAAAGCCATTACAGTAGTTTTAAAAATAGATTAGTAATCAGCCTTATTTCAGAAAATGATTAAATGGCAAACAGGGCAGCTTATTTCTCTTACAAAGCTTCATAGATCATTACAACTCATTTTTGAATTTTGTTTCCTGTAAATTGAATAACATAGTGGTTCCCGTCAAATGCTTAAGTTCCTGGAAATCCCTTACAATCTATTCTCTCCTCCTCCTCCGGTAGCAGCTATTTAAATCACTCCTTACAAAGCACATATTCATGACACGGTTAAACAAATATTCCCAGCTTGTATGGACAGAAGCACAATTCAATGTTTTAAAAGGAATTACCCACTTTTTTCCCCTCTAAACTTAAAACATTAGGAGGCAGGCACATGCTTTTAGAAACTCACACACACTCACCCTAAAGGGACACTGAACTCCGCAACCACTAAGGGAAATTGTTGTAGCTCTGGAACAGAGGTTCCACTTGTGCATTATTTGCACAAGTGCAGCAATACCAGCCTACTACTGTCAACCACGTTTGGATGAATTTGCATGGATAATTCAGACGTTAAATTAAGCCACTTGCTTTCAATTAAACCTAATTAACCCCACTCACGAGACACATACATTCGCACAGAAGACGCATACATGCAGCCTGATGTGTACTTGAATTGCTTTTCCTCTGCACCCCTCTGTTTAACTAGCTGGTCAGATAAACAGAAAGTACATTTAGAGCATGCTCCACTATGCCTTATTTGGCAACTTGCAAAACACATCAAGCTCCTCAAACATGCATTCTTCAAACTTTTTCTGAAGGCCCACAGAGCACTTTGCCACGGGAGAACAGATCTATCATCGTAGGTAGCTGGCTTTGGAACCTGGACACAGATAGCAACTAGAGCATACCATTGATTCCAAAAGAGATTACAGTCATAACTTTTATATTAAAAATATTCATTTCCGGGAAAGCACGACACGTAAATCGGCAGCCACAGAAAGAAAGGACATCGAGCAGCCACATTTGAATTCACGTATGAAATGTGTCCAAGTTTAACAGAATTCATAATCTAAAAGTTACATCCAATACCAACTTTTAGCCAACTGATGATACATAATTGTGGGGTGGTGAAAGAGGACTCTAGTCACCAAAACCACAGCAAAATGTTGTAGTGGTTATGATACCAAAAGAGTCCCTTTAAGTTACACTGCATGAATGTCAGAATAATAGTAAAATCACTGATAAATGTATATCTTACAACTGAAAGCTTATTCTGCAGTAAAATATCTCATACACATGAAAAATCAATTAGTCATTTTTTTTTTTCGATTACTGTTGTACAGTCATTGGCGCTTCCAGTGTTTTTGTTTATTTTGTTTATTTAGGGTGAGCTTACTGTTACAGATCAGAAAGAACATTTGGTGAAAACCTTCCAATACTGATTTTACACTAGAGACCTAAAATAAACGGGAAACAGAAGTTTATAAGCCATGGCCCTATGTGACCTATCCCGCCTCAGGTTGGTTTGTTTGTAGGTTTGTTTATTGAAAGCAATGAAAGTCAGACGGAACAGCGAGGATCAAAATGGCATTAAAGTATCTCCAACTGCCCATTGAGAAACATTTTTATTCCAGAAAATTTAAACAGAGCTTGCTTGACCAATTTTCATGGAATCTAGGAGTGAGCTAAAAAAGTAAGGAGCCAGGTTTTTCAATGGCAAAAATACAAGTCTTAAAGAGACACTATAGTCAACAGAACCAGCGCAGCTCAATATAATTGTTCTGTGAGTATAGTCAGTCCCCGCAGGCCTTTTCATATAAACACTGCATTTTCAGAGAAAAGGCAGTGTTTACATTACAGCCTAGGGACACCTCTAGTGACAGTCACTCAGACAGCCTCTATAAGTGCTTCCTAGTCTAGCACTGCACAATGTGCAGCACCTATCTTCAGCATCTCCACTCTCTGTGAACAATAAGTAGAGTAAGGCTATGACATCTATTTTCAGTTTTGGGAGGAGGATTACACATCCCTTCATGAATGCATTAAAGTTCTGTGCTTTTGTTTACACAATTTGACATATGTAGTTATTGTATTGCATGACTGTTTGTAACAATGATTATATCCTATTTTATATAATCCCAGTGGTTAAGTCTGATATATATAGCAGTCGGGCACAAATGTATATTCTCAATAGATTCCTTAATGAAATTGAGACACCTTTTACACCAGAAAGTCTCCAAAGAATGCATTTGATGTAATTAACATCTATATGTTAACATAAGTATGCATTGACTCAGTGTCACTCTATAAGGAGATGCTGATTGGCGTAGCATTTCCTCATTTTGTATGCCTATCACTATAGTGTTCCTAAAGGGACACTATAGTCACCAAAACAACTACAGCTTATAGTATTTGTTTTGGTGACTATAATCATTCCCTGCAGGCATTTTCATGTAAACACTGTCTTTTCAGAGAAAATACAGTGTTTACATTGCTCTTCGGTGACTCCACGCTCTGTATGGAAACGCTAAATTTTTCTCAGAGATGCATTGATTCAATCCATCTCTATGAGGAGGTGCTGATCGGCTAACCCCCAACCCCGCCACACCTCGTTGCAAATTTCAGCCAATTTAATGCTTTTCAATATGGGAAAGCATTGGATTGTCTGAAATCAAATTCTGGTGAGGTCAGCAAGGAGGCAGATTGGGTGCAGGGTCAGTGCTGGCAAATCCACACTGCACTGGAAATAAGGTATGCAAGGGGATAAGAGGGAGTGGAGGAAGCCACCTAAATGGTGGTTTTAACACTATATGGTCAGGAATACATGTTTGTGTTCCTGACCCTATCGTTTCCCTTTAAATTCCTACTTCATTATAAATCACAAATATAAGTGCACTGGGATCACCTTTAGAGTATGTGTTTATATTTGTGTTCCAATCACACATATGAAACATGAAAGAAAAGAAAGACTGTGGATGGTTTTTGTCCAGTGCGTTACGTTCCTCCCCATCAGGTGCAACTACAATAAATATTGATACAATGCTTTATATATTAGTTTACACAGTTTAATCGTTCCGCCTTTTAATCTGTGTTCCCAGAAGGGATCCGACTAGAATAGCTCCCATAATAAACATCACACACACACACACACAACTAGTGATGGCCAAGTGTTTATGAAATATGTACATGCAGAATTTTAGTTTAAAGAAGAAGCAATAAATCGCTAGAATATGCAGCTCTATGGAGTCTATATAATACCAGATTATAATGTGAAGACTTCTGCCAATAAAGTCCACTTGGTGTGTGTGTGTTTATTTAGCACTTTAAGGGTTTTATCTGTAATGAATTTCCAAAAAATAAGAGATTAGTAATGAGACAAGCATTAAGAGGAAATATCTTAACAAAAGGGACACAAAACAGCCTACCAAATATTAAACATAGAAACATAGAATGTGACGGCAGATAAGAACCATTCGGCCCATCTAGTCTGCCCAATTTTCTAAATACTTTCATTAGTCCCTGGCCTTATCTTATAGTTAGGATAGCCTTATGCCTATCCCACGCATGCTTAAACTCCTTTACTGTGTTAACCTCTACCACTTCAGCTGGAAGGCTATTCCATGCATCCACTACCCTCTCAGTAAAGTAATACTTCCTGATATTATTTTTAAACCTTTGTCCCTCTAATTTAAGACTATGTCCTCTTGTTGTGGTAGTTTTTCTTCTTTTAAATATAGTCTCCTCCTTTACTGTGTTGATTCCCTTTATATATTTAAATGTTTCTATCATATCCCCCCTGTCTCGTCTTTCCTCCAAGCTATACATGTTAAGATCCTTTAACCTTTCCTGGTAAGTTTTATCCCGCAATCCATGAACCAGTTTAGTAGCCCTTCTCTGAACCCTCTCTAAGGTATCAATATCCTTCTGAAGATACGGTCTCCAGTACTGTGTACAATACTCCAAGTGAGGTCTCACCAGTGTTCTGTACAATGGCATGAGCACTTCCCTCTTTCTACTGCTAATACCTCTCCCTATATAACCAAGCATTCTGCTAGCATTTCCTGCTGCTCTATTACATTGTCATTTTAAACATATTTTAAAGAAAAGAGTCACAGCAAACAAACCAAACAAAAACAATTAAATACATTTTGAATTATATATAAGAGATCTAGATATATATTGTTTTCTCTTCTTTAATCATCACTTCCAATGGTTATTAATAGAGATTCCTTTACCAAAATATTAACAAAAGCTGTGTGTGAGTGCCTTCATGTTGGTTCCTTGGCAATCGTTCCTATAAGCTCTGCCCTTTTTTGGTCAGCAATAAAAATTAACAAATAAAAATGTAATTTGGACTTAAAAATTACCCCTTTGGTTTTTTTTTTAAATGCATTATAATAGTGCAAACAAAAAGAAAGGGGGGGGGATATTAAAAAGTTACTCACCTTGACACCATTTCCCCTCACTTTGCACGGTCCATAATAGCTTTATTATTTGATTAATGTTTCCCTCCTCCTTCAAAACCTGCCCTGATCCATTTTATTACAGTACATTCCTGAAAGAGGTGTACATGACAAGCAATTACAAACCAGGTGCAGCTGCCTAGAGAGCTGAAATGGCAGCACTAGACTGTTAAAGGTATACCAAAATAACTTGAGCTAAAAGGAATGCAAATATGTATTCCTAACGTTATAGTATCCTGGTGCCTAGGTAGAGCATTGCATCCTGTGTCCCCCCCTAATTGAAGTGAGTAAAGAGATGTACTTACCTTAACTCCATCCCCATGTGCCAGTCTATTTCCTGTCGCTCAGCTTCCTTGAATGATGATATCAATCTTTATGATCTTAGCCAATTCAATACTTCCCCATAAAGAAGTGTGGGAGGCTAGTGCACATGCACAGCAAAATGCACTGCAGAAAATGCTCTCTAGAAGTAACATTTGATGTAGAACAGAGTCTGAATCAGTTCTCACAGGTGAGGGCATCCACTTAGAGGTGTGCTAACCCTGCAATCATAACATTCCTGTATCTACTACACGCCAATATCTTAGACTACAGACTTCACTACAATACAATATCTTAGACTTCATTGAGTGATAGAGAATTGAGCAGTGAGACGGCAGGGGCATGATCTATACACCAAAACTGCTTCATTAAGCTAAAGTTGTTTCGGTGCTTAGAGTGTCCCTTTGATCATGGTCAAAAATCTATAGTGGGTTGTACACAGGATAACTGAAATGTCACTTTTCTTGATTTTTATTTGTCCCCTTTGTCATATAAAAACTTTGTACTTTGTAATTCTATATTCATGGTACTTTATGATGTGTTTTTATGTCAAAACATATCGTAAAACCATAGACAAAACAAAACACGGCAAATGGTGAATAGCACACTTATGTGAAAAATCTTAGGAAATCAGTGTTTCCACCACATGTGATTGAACATAAGGATCTACGTGAACAAATAACAAAAAACATTTTTTTTATATATCCCTCTAGGCACCTTGCTCATGGTGCCTAGAGGGATATTGGCTATACCTCACTAATGATACCTTAGAACAGGGGTTCTCAACACAGTCCAAGATTTAGGGATTACCTGGGTGTGTCTAAGGTGTTTAGAAGAAAAAAAAAATAATAACAAACAAAAAAACACCTTAGAGTCTTGAAGCTTAAAACGATCGTCTGGGGTTGCTGTAGCTCTTGTGCAGAGGGAACTTGCTGGCATTTCGGATCTGGACTGCCCGTATGGGTGGGACCAGTCTGATATGCTTCAGATAATGTTCTTTCTGTAATGGCACTAGATAAGCTAAAACCCACCGAAGGGCAGGCTAATTGAGCGATTGTCTGTTCTCATTTCTGTTGCTACTGGTTTTTCCTCTCCTTAAAAAAAAAAAAAAAAAATACAGTTTGCTAGATAATTCCAGATTATCCAGAAAATGTTACTCACCTTGACAGCTTCCTCTGGTGTCCTATTTAGTGGGTCTGCCTTGAACTCCAAGTAGAGCCCTCCCATCCCAAAAAGAAGCTGTTATCCCATAAGCCTCTGAATGGCAAGTGTTTATAGTTTACCCCCCGGAGCTGTCCATTACATAGGATAAACTTATAATAGCCATAGCACAAGCATCTATCTTTACAGAGAGCAGAGTTGAAGCCTACAGACTGGGAGAGAGCACAGACTCGTTCTGGGTTCACTTATTAACAGGATCTCTCTTAATATCTCAGATCTGGCTGTATCTCATGCTGAAATGCTCTACAGATCAAGTATTTGCACTATAAACACTTCAGCAAAACAAAGTAGTTATAGGGCTAATACTCTCCCAAAAAAATGTAATGTTTTAAAAAACAGTGTTCCCCTTAAAGTCACAAAACTCATTAGCATTATAAATTGAGGCTGAAAAACTAAAGCCTAATTGTATGACTGTTCCTACTACACACGGCACAAACATTAGAAAGTCAACGATAATACTGAAATATTATTAGAATAAACACTCAATATCGTAATTTTATTAAAGATACACTATAGTCACCTAAATTACTCTAGCTAAACAAAGCAGTTTTAGTGTATAGATCATTCCCCTGCAATTTCACTGCTCAATTCACTGTCATTTAGGAGTTAAATCACTTTGTTTCTGTTTATGCAGCCCTAGCCACACCTCCCCTAGCTATGATTGACAGAGCCAGCATGAAAAAATAAAACGGAGTTACCAAGGGGAAATTATAGGCTGGGGGGAAAATATTGGTTCTTTTCAGGACTATAGCTTCCCTTAAACATTTACTGCTCTGTAGCCTTTGTTTTTCAATATCACTTTTTTAGGAAAGTGCAATGGTGTTTCCATCATTTGCTGGTTAGTTGGGTCAGTTTTTCACATCCAGAACAAATGCTTGTATTATTTAGAATGCATTTTCACTTCTGATTTTCAGTTCTGTGTTTACCAATAACCAAGGGCTTGACAAACTTGGTTGGAATCTAGGAGCCAGGTTTTTTTTGGGTTTTTTTTAAAACAAAACTTAATTTTCAAACGGCAAAAATTCAGTAATTCTTGAAGGGACACTATAGTCACCAGAACCACTACAGCTTAAATGGACTCTCCAGTGCCAGGAAAACATATCAGTTTTCCTGGCACTGCAGGACCCTCTCCCTCCCCCCCTCCCATCCCATGTTGCTGAAGAGGTTAAAACAGGCGGGCCCATCCGCCCCCACGCCGGCCACAACAAGATCATGATATAATTAGTTATATAGCACCAATATATTCTGCAGCGCTGTACAATAAAAACCAAGACAAGCATTTCCGACATACAGGAACAGTAGGTGAATATGGTTCTGCCCAAACTAGTTCACAATATAACAAGACGTTAATGGGAGGGTTAGATATCAGGCAGTATACGTTCAATGCATGTTTACGTAAGTTGCTGAACTTTGACTTTATAGTTAGAGAACCATTTACAAATATTGTAATTTTATGAAGCAGATTTGGTATATAGATCATGCCTCTGCAGTCTCACTGTTAATTCTCTGCCATTTAGGTGTTAAATCACTTTGTTTATACAGCCCTAGTCCCACCACCATACGTATGACTTGCACAGCCTTCCTAAACACTTCCTGTAAAGAGTCATCTAATGTCTATAATTCATTTATTGCAAATTCTGTTTAATTTAGAATGTCTAACCTCTTGCACTGTTAATAGCTTGCTAGAACCTGCAGGAGCCTCATGTATGTAATTACATTTCAATTTACAGAGTAGGAGATAAGCACTTTTAAAGTAAGTTAAGATCGGATTAAAAATTAAACTATTTTTGTTTTCATGCAGGCTGTCAGTCACAGCAAGGGAGGTGTGGCTGGGCAGCATAAACAGAAACAAAAGTGATTTAACTCCTAAATGGCAAATAATTGATCAATAAGACTTCAGAGGCATCTATACACTCAAACTGCTTCATTAAGCTAAAGTTGCTTTGGGGACTATAATGTTTCTTTAATTTAACCCATTACTGTGTCTTAAAGGACCACTATAGTGCCAAGAAAACACTTGTTTTCCTGGCACTATAGTGCCCTGAGGGGTTAAACTTACCTCTTTCTCCAGCGCCGGGTGGGGAGCTCTCCTCCTCTTCGGCTGAATGCGCATGCGCGGCAGGAGCTGCGCGCGCATTCAGCCAGTCTCATAGGAAAGCATTCATAATGCTTTCCTATGGACGCTTGCGTCTTGTCACTGATTTTCACAGTGAGAAGCAAGCAAGCGCCTCTAGCGGTTGTCAATGAGACAGCCACTAGAGGCTTTAGAGGTTGGATTAACCTATTTATAAACATAGCAGTAAAAAATAAAAAATAAAAAAGTGTTAACCCTAGCTGGACCAGGCACCCAGACCACTTCGTTAAGCTGAAGTGGTCTGGGTGCCTATAGTGATCCTTTAAAGGGATTCCTGCAGTGCCCCCTCCCTCCCGCCCCCCATCCCTTGTCGCTGAAGGAGTTAAAACCCCTTCAGCTACTTACCTGAATCCAGTGCCGATGTTCCTCGGCGCTGGGTCAGGCACAGCCCACGCTCCTCCCCCACCGACGTCAACCGGCGATGGAGACCTAATGCGCATGCGAATGGCCACGCTCGCATTAGACCTCCTCATAGGAAAACATTCAAAGTTTTCCTATGGGGAAAATCTGACGCTGGAGGTCAGTGAGGATGTCCAGCATCACATAATGGACCAAAAGTCAGTTTCAGTCCAGAATGTCCTCTAGTGGCTGTCTGGTAAACAGCTACTAAGGGCAGACAGAGTTGCAATGTAAATATTACAGTTTCTCTGGAACGGCAATGTTTTACATTGCAGCACTAAGTGCAAAAGGGACAGTGCACCCAGACTACTTCAATTAGCTGAAGTGGTCTGGGTGCCTACAGTGTGCCTTTAAAGAAGTGGTTTTGATGCCTAGATGTTGTTACTTTTGTCTGGAAATGTACATATTTTGCCTAAAACTTGCCAGAGTCAGACTGACAGGCACTATGGGCTCTTCTTCCTTAAAGGGTTAGTTCAACCACAATGACCACTTCTGCTTTTAGAAGTGGTCACGGAGATAGGACTCTGTATGTGCCTTGTTTCAGCTTTAAACATTGCAAATCCAGATAGATTTGCAGTTTTGTGCTGGGGGCGAGTTACACTCATGGCACAAGTTTCTCGAACTCTGTTCTTGACTATCCAATGTCAATTCTGTGCAAAAAAAATAAGGTCTGCACTGAGAGCACACTTGCAAGAGGAAGCGCCTATGTCCCACTCCCTCCCTTGTTTAAGCTCAGCACTGCATCCCAGGTACATTATTGCTTTACTCCAAAGATTTACATGAGGGGGGTGCTAGTGAATAATATGCAATAAGGCATTGTAAATAACACTGCAATAAGCTGCAAATGGTTGTAATAACTGGAGTGTCCCTTTAATAAATAAGCCATGCTACAATAATATGCAATAACTGGAATCCACACACTGCCAAAGGTTCAATGTCCTTTTCCTTTCTATAAACAGGATGGTTCCTGCAAATACGCGACCTTTCCAAACATAGAACTGCTGGAAAAATATTGAGTCCGAGCTTACTCACTCTTCTAAACATTGTGTTTTGGTCAAAACAAAACAGTCACTTTACAGCTCTTTACCTGGAAACCTATGATTGCTCTACAAATAGAAACACAGGTTGCACTACAGCAGAGGGTAAAATGGAAAACCAGAGACAACAGGGTTTCAAATACCCAATTTGAAAAATTCCTCGCACAACTTAGATATTTTATTCTAAATTTTGCAATTCTGTTTTAACTCACTACAATTAATTGTTTAGAGAAAGAAAAAAAAAAGAAAACACAATATTGAGATTTCTTCTCATTAGAGAAGTGACAAAGGCATTACACATTTCAGACTAAGTGAGCTGTGAACTGGAGAATGCATGTCATTTCTGCCTCACACACTATTATCAAATCCCAGCAATTGCCGGCTTAATGAATAGGCACCATCACGATTATACTGGCATGCATAAGTTTTCTTTGAATACACTGGCCTATTTGCAACGACATAGCTTATTTTATTTTTTCTTCCATTACAATAATAGAACAGACACAAAAATGTTATAAACAAACAAAACATAGATTGAGATCTGTATGATAAAATAAGTAGTCTGCATACACTGCTGAAGAGTATGTCAAACACCAAGGTTGAGCAAAGAACAGCTGTTCTAGTGATAAAGAATCAAGTCATTTTGACCTAGAATGTGTAATTCCCTTACATTTTCAGCAAAACATGTGAACTACAAATAATATTTATAAAAAATCATTTTAATTAGGATTCATGAATGGCAAAACAGTCAGCCAAAATCATTCACCTGTATAAAACAAATGGCTACCAAAAGTTGAGGTGTACACACTGCTTGAAATAGCACTTGGGGACCCAATATTTAATTTTATTTTTAGTGCACCTAATGCAACACCAACTGCACCATTACATGCATTAAGTCTATAATGAATGCAGCGACAAGGCTCAGCTTCCTGTCCGCCGCACCTTCCCCCCTCTGTCAGTCCCTCCATTGGCTTCCCATAAGATATAGGGCTCAATTTAAGATCCTGACACTTGCTTACAAATCTCTACACAATGCTGCTCCGACCTACTTATCCTCACTATACACAAATATGTCCCATCTAGGCCCCTACGCTATGCTGGAGACCTACGTCCAACCTCTGTTCCTACTCTTACCTCTGATGCTCAACTTAAAGACTTCTGTAGAGCTGCACCATTCCTATGGAACGCCCTTCCCCTCTCTGTTAGACTTTCCCTCAGTCTACACTCCTTCAAAAAGTCTTTGAAAAAACACACTTCTTTAGGAAAGTATTTCAATTAAACTGTCAACAGCTTTCCCTCCCCGCACCCCATCCCTCTCCTGAAATGGTCATCAAAACAAAACACTAAGCCCTAAATAAATACTATCATAACAACCCTTACCTTTTGTGTCCCGATACCCCACTCCCTCTGACATGTAAGCTCATTGAGCAGGGCCCTCAATCCCTCTGTTCCTGTGCATCCAACTCATCTAGTTACAAATACGTGTTAGTCCACCCATTGTACAGCGCTATGGAATTTGTTGGCGCTTTATAAATAATAAACCCCTTTTGAAAGGGTACCAATCTTCCGGGTGTTTAGACACAGATGGTTGGCACAACACTGAGACTTGGCTCTGCAGTGCTAGCAGAACAGGAATAAATCATAGGTTTAAAAATAAATGAGGCCAGAAACTCCAGCTACTGTGACGTAAAGCTTTCACAGCAGTGAGCATTACTGGAGGTAAACTTCAAAGCAACTAAAAGACATGATGTTTCTGGCCATTACCGGTTTCTACACTAAACTTATCTTAAAAGGGACACTATAGTCACCAGAACAGCTACAGCTTATTGTATTTGTTCTGGTATTATCATTACCTTCAGGCTTTTTGCAGTAAATACAGTCTTAAGAGAAAATGCAGTGTTTACGTTACGGCCTAGTGATAACTCCACTGGCCACCATTAGAGGTGCTTCTGGGGGCAGTGCGCAGCACTGACTTTCACTGTCTCCACCCTCTGCATGCGGACACTGAGCTTTCCTCGAAAAGATGTATTGATTCAATGCACCTCTATGAGGAGATGCTGATTGGCCGGGGCTGTGTTTGGCTTGTGCTGGCTCTGCCCCAAATCTGCCTCCTTGACAAGCTCAGCCAAGCCAATAAGTTCCAATGTGAAAGCATTGTGATTGGTTCAGAACACCATTTCTGATGATGTCAGCCAAGCAGGCAGATCAGGGGCAGAGCCAGCAGCAGCAGACTGCAATGAAGGTAAAAGATTTTTTTATATTTAGTGGGGTAAGGAGAGGCAGGGTGGCTAGATGGTGGTTTTAACATAATATAATAAGGAATACAAGTTTGTGTTCCTGACTCTATAGTGTTCCTTTAAGTAATTTAGGCTCAAGATGAGAAGATAACAAAACTGCAAGATTACAAAATGTGTGTTTTAATACAAGTAGCACAGGATTATGCAAAATACAATATATTTTTTATATTTCCAGAGTTATAAATAATATGAAACGTAAACAAATTCAAAAACATGAGAGAATCTGATTGTGACTTCAACAGGCATAATATCACAACGTCTAGCAGCAGCATGATTAATAGAACACACGAAGCATCATAACCACTACAGCCCGCTATAGTGGTTATGGTGCCAGGGGATCGAAAACTGACACCTAGGGTCTCCTAGGAGCCCGCACCAAATCCAGTTTTCTCCAGGAGGAGAAGTGAGATTTCTCTGCTCAGCAAAGCACAGCTGATTCAGGACCCCAGCCAATGGGCGCAGCCCTACAATGGTCAGCAGAGCCAACTGGATTCTCCTGCAGGAGACGCCCAGATACAGGGGCTGCAGACGGCTGGAGACCATTCTAAACTACTTTAAGAAATTACACTGGGACGGTGCCAGCGCACTCCTGGCACCATAACCACTACAATGAACTGTGGTGCTTGAAGTGTTCCTACAAGTAATTAAAGCTATAAATTTTTTTTTAACAAATTGAAAGAAAGAAACTGCATCCAACCTTTGAGAACACCTTAACCAGAAATATTACAGGGCACAGCGATACACTGATTGACCGTCTGTTTTTTATAGTATCCATTCAGATCTATGTTGACGATTAATTTCAATAAGCTTGGTCAAGAAAGAGTTTGCTTAAATGATACTTTATAAAAATTAATTAAATATACTTACTGAAATATCACCTAGGCTTGATGCTGATCTATGGATGCAGATTTACATTGCATTTATCCCGGTCACATTACCCATTATGTATTACTTCCAAGCAGCAACACCCTGTGAGCAAAAGAAAGAAAAAAAACAACACACACAAGTCAAAACACAATAGGAAATGGCGATAAGAACATGCAATTAATCTAAAAATAAGCATGTTGAAATCAAGCTGACCAGAGTCCTTATCACAAATAGTTCTCTTATTCCACAATTTGTGTACAATCATTTCTATATTATTTAGTATGCAGAATTGATAATTATGTTGGCACTCTAATGTAGTAACTCACAAACGGAGGATACCGCACTCACACTTAGGAATCCAGGTGCTAATCAGGGCCGGGGTTGGCAAAACTCAGTTTAGTAGATAAAATAAATTAGATTCGGGCACTCAGGATTGCTTCAGGAAGGCAGGTACATTTAAACACATTAAACAGGAAGTCCCAGTTTGTTTTGCAACTATGTATATCACAAGTTTACTACACAAAGCTGAGGACTTGCCTGAACACAAACATGCCATTTTTTACAAAGATAAATAAGCACAAATTATATATATATATATATATATTTCATCCACAACATATGAAGTTTGCCTACCCTTCCCCTACGCACACAGGCTACACCCCCCCAAGCTTAAGTTTCATTCAAATATGGTACAGTTTGTTTTATTCTCTCCCCCCCCCCTTCCCTCCCCCCCAATGTCTATTTAAATTATATGAGTGTCATATTCTGGTATATGTTGATGAAGACATGTTCAGAATAAAGGAATTTAATGTAAACCGACTGGGTGGCATTGTTCGATTACCGAGGACTATAGTAATAATGGGCATTTCATGTTACCAACATCGTACAGAGGTTGAAATCAGAAAATGAGGAGACAAAAAAAAAAAAAAGTTTGGTTGCAAGAACACATAAATCCCACAAAATGTCATTCAATAACCTCTGTGATGCTGCTCTGCACAGATTTTGCCAAGTCTGTCAGTAATACACACAGAAATCACCCTTGCCTGCAATTTATCTTTTACATATTTTCATATCTGCTTGGGAAACAGTCTCAATGATGTGACTAGTAGCAGTTCCACAAGTCACGTGATGAAACATAAGGCATGAAAAAAGCCTTGGCCAGAGCAATCATACAAGTTTCACATTTTTGTTAGCACTACAATGTCTGGAACTCTCCCAGTGACCTCAAGTAACAGTACACTAGGCATAAATAACTGCAAATACCATTCTAAAATCAGCACGGTACAACAGAAAACCTAAAGCGAAAGGGAAAATGGAAGTCAAATTTGTACAGATCTACTACCCAAATAGTATTTTTGAGATGAGCTGTGCAAAATACAGGTATAATATCAGGAGTTAGGAGAGGGAAGGAGGCCTCTTTATCATTTCTTTCCTTTTTTTTTGCTTCCCTGCTTTTTAATTTCTCTTCAATTTATCCCAGGCAAAATAATGGAGGAATAAGGAAATCCAAGGGCTAAGGAGCAGTTGTTATGATAAGGATCCTTATGTTTGTCTGAATGCCTGTTTAAAAAATACAAAATCCCTCGATGGGAGACATGTCTCAAAGGATTAAAGAATTTGTATCACATGGTTCACCTGAAGCGCATTGTTTTTCCATAAATATTACTTATGTTGGCTTCTGCGTAAGCCCAAAAGTTCATTGTACACTTGTTATTCTTATCGAGTGATAAATAAAGAATACAAAAAAAGTAGAGGGAGGCAACTCTACAGAGTTAAAAAAATAAATAAAAAAACAACGCGACCATTATAGCTTAAAATTAAAGCATTTCAGCTTTTAGTGAACAGATCCCACGTAAAACACCAACAAAATATTCAAAAGAAAGCTTATACCTTACAGAATATATATTAAAAGAAGATACGGGGAGACTTTAATGATTGAATTTCCAAATATGTTTTTTTATGTCAATTTCAGAGGGAGTTTTATACATTTTGCATTGGGGAAAAAAATACATATTAGAAAAACAAATATTGAAGCAAGTCTGAGGTACTTCCAATTTATCTTATTATAAAAACGTCCATACGTCTGTGTGGCAGTCTGCCAAGGTATCACCGCCACGGATTCCCTTTTCCCGAAATAAAATAACGCCAATAATCCTGAAGCAAAAATATTGCCAGTATCACAAGTCCTCCACACATGAGCTTAATGCTAGGAGAAGACTGTTTAATGCAGGGCAAAACATGCCCTTTTATGACAATGCCAATGCAACGGGTTTCTAACACAAAACAGCAGGGTAATCCCTCCCCTGTACCTGGGAGATAATGGAGTCAGGAACTGTACAAACTCAATTTTCTCCAGGTACAGAAAAACAATTTACAGACACCCCAAAAGTACCCCACAATACATGAAAACCCCACGAAAGTTACAACCTTGGATAGCCCCGATCTGAGTGACCAACAAATCCAAAAATCACCCAGATCACTTCGGTAGCTCCATGGAAGTCACTTTTTTGCCCGACCGCACACGAGGCTCCTGCCCAAAATAGTTCCATAAGAAAAGTGTTCGCAGTCGGTCAACTTCGGTAGTTTAAAATTAATAAAATACCGAAAGTAGTTTACATTCGAACTGTGGTGCTTGCTCCCCTCATCCAGACGAACAATTCCACTGAACAGTGCCCTTCCAGGATGTACTGAACCCGACCGCAGGCAATGATGGAAATTCCGGGGCATTCGGGAGTTTGAGTGTCCGATTTTAGTTCCCTGCGTTTGTGCGAACAAGATGGCCAGACAAAACACTTAGAACACTGCGGTTAGAATTGTTACACGGTGTTAATAGAGTTTAACAAGCATCCCGGAGGGGGTCGGTAGTTCAGGAGTTGGTTCGGTTCCCAATCCAATAGGAAAATCCCACAAACCAAGTAAAACAAATCAGAATACAAAGAAATATAAGTCCACGAAATCAACCAAGAGAAGTGATGGAGCTATTCCTTCGCAGTCTGCAACATTGCGCAGCAAGTACACAAACTCAAATGCTTGCATGCAAAATATAATCTACACAATGTTATATTTGCACATAGGCAGGCTATCCACCCACACCTCCCAATGTATTGCAGAAGTACTGTAAGTAATGTGTACATAACAGCTAACCAGCAAATTAGTAAAGAACACAAGACTAAAGTCAAAAAACAATATTGCTGCCTGAAATGGCAATGTTTAACAGAGAAATTCATAAAAACTCCAGCAGAATCGGACAAAATTAAAAGTGAACTAGTTCTCACTACAAAATGATTGTAGCACTAATAATAATCTGCATAAAGAGTTGCATTACAGTACTTCTATCCGTCTTGTATATTTTGATTTGAATATAAAAGCTTTGGTAGAAAAGTTCACACTTAACTAAAAATTTGAATTAAAAGTGAATTTAAAATTTTCGTCAAACAAATATATAAAAAATAGATAAATTAGGAGTATTTCTCCAGTTCTGCTGTTTTGGCCTAATACTTTAAATTAACTTTGAAATTCCATTAAATTCCTGTTAATTTTGTTAATAGTTCAATAATATATTTTTATTTAAGGATCAAGTGCAGATGGACCATATTGCAGCATTCACCAGGAGGTGTTTACTGCAACAGGAATCTTTATAAAGAAACATATACCCTAGACATGGTAGCTTTCATTGCAATAAGTGCATTACTTAAACTGAAACAAGTGTAGGCGCTCTCTAAAATAACTATAGGAACGGCAGCAGTAAACCAGCAGGGCTTCCCAATACCTGCTAATAACCAAAGAGTGCAAAAACTAAGTGGAATACCGCGCCACAGAGATATGTGAAATACTCAATTAAAAGGGATAGATATAGATATATATATATATATACACACATACACTTATGGGATGTTCCAACATTATAACAGTGAGTGTAAACTTTAAAAGCTCTTCTTCCTGGAGCAGCCCTTAGTCTCCATACCAAACTTATTACGAGCGTTTACCGTATATGGCAAAGTGTCCAACCTAAAACTGAATCTAGATAAGTCGGAAGCCATGCTGATAACACGCGAGAGGGGCCTCGCAGACCACCTTCGCTCCCAATTCCCCTTTGCCTGGCGGGAATCAAAAATCCGCTACCTGGGCACCTGGCTGCCGAAGGACCTCTCCCTCCTGTACCAACTCAACTTCCTTCCCATGCTCACCACTATACAGCAGGACCTGACACGATGGTCAGGACTGTATCTTACCTGGTTCGGTCGCATCAGCGCAGTCAAGATGAATATACTCCCGAGTCTGCTTTATCTGTTTGCAACCCTGCCCACGCAGATCCCACAGGAATTCTTTAGGTCGGCAACCACGGTCATACGCAAGTTTGTATGGAATCAAAGACAGACGCGTATCCGCCGGGCGACCCTGGAGCGCCCCAAGATGGAAGGGGGAGTTGGGTTGCCTTCTTTGCTCATGTACTATCAAGCCGCGCACCTGCACAGGATAATCGACTGGCACGCCCTTCCGGGACCAAAACGATGGGTGACGCTGGAGAAGGAACAAACGCGAGGTGGCATCCCATCCAGACTCTGGCTGGGGAGTGCCACCTATAGGGACCTTCAGACTACTAATCCTATCATAGACGCCACATTGAGAGTCTGGTGCAAACTGCGCTATGCCCGGCAGCTGACGACTTCCCCGAACCCCCTGACTCCCATCACGTTTAACCCAGACCTGGCTGGAGGACTACAGCCGGCGGCTCTTATACGCCTCCAAGCCTCGGACTGGAATTATCTACATCAATGGAGTGAGGGTGGCCGGATCAGAAGCCTACGAGACCTAATGGGAGATCGACTCCCTACGCCGTTGGACTCCTTTCACTATCACCAGATAAAGGCATACCATGCCCACCTGCCAGGGAAGGCCCATATACATAGGCAGCTTACAGAGTTTGAACAAATGTGTACCGATAGGAAACATATAGAACACGGCGTCTCGCGAATGTATGGGTCCCTCATGCGGACGGCGGATTCGGGTCCCTTGGGCTTCACCAATAAATGGGAACAGGAGACTGGAACCCAGTTGACAGATATAGAATGGGAAAAAATCTTTCTCCTGACCCACAAATGTTCGATAAGTTCCAAATTTCAAGAAACTAGTTACAAGCTTTTGACACGGTGGTACCGCACACCCGACACTCTTAGACACCTGACACAGGCGGACGTGGGGGAATGTTGGCGATGTGGGGTAGAACTAGGCTCATACCTGCACATTTGGTGGTCCTGCCCCCACATAGTTCCATTTTGGCGGATGATTAATAATAAGATCAGGGAAATTACAGACACAGACCTTCCCCTCCAACCCCTGCAGATGCTCCTGAACCATACAAACACACCCTTGAGCAAATACAAAAACTCGCTCACCATACAATTGCTCACCGCAGCCAAAACACTCATACCCCTACACTGGAAGGCCCAGACAATCCCCACATATCGCCAATGGGTGGATAAGGTAGAAGCCATACACGAAATGGAACTCATGACGGCCTCCCTGCAGGAGCGCTCGGACAAGTGCGCCCTCAAATGGTACCCCTGGAGCACCTACCTCGAGAAGGGTGCAGCATGATTAGCGGTAAGACCGAGGTCACGCAGACATAGGACGTACTACACATTAAGACGGGTAAGACACCCATAACCTTCGACGGACGCCAGCTCAACTTTAGATTCCACCCAACGGAGAGAACTTGAGTCCACCCCTGACCAATAAATACAAAGATGGGTAGTAGGGCAACAGGACTACATGGTAGACAACCTCCCACATGCTACGAGAGGAACAATAGAGGCACCTGTCGACACGGGCAGACTCCTGTCGGGAACAAGGGCGTGAGCCCCCCACCCCGGGGGTACCACCACTGGAGGTGGAGATGTGGGAATCTAATCCAGCACCGGTCGCCTAGAGGGGACCCATACCGAGGGAGGGGTCATAAGGGGCTATACCTGTTTCCGATAGGGAGTTGAGTGAGCCGTATAGTCTTCTCAGTAAGGCGAACTAAACCCCGGGATGTAAGGCGAGAGAAACGTCTAAAGCCCTAGAAAGGGCCCAGATAACATGGGCAAACGGTAGTCGTATGCCCCTATACATTAAACAACTCTATTCGACAGGCGAATATTGTAGGTACTGAGTCAGTAAGCAAGGACAGCATAGTGCTTGTAGACGTGGGACGGATAGGGGAGGGGGGTGAGGGGGAAAGGGTCAGACGGGAAGACCGCTGTAAGGGGACGGAGGAAAAGGGATAAACTTCCAAACAAATGCTGTAAGGGGAAAGATGCCTTTGCTTCTCATATTTCTCTGTTTCCTCAATGTATATCGCATTGGTTGGATGTCATGTACATGCTATGTGAAACAACAATAAAAAGAGAATGACAAAAAAAGATAAATTGAAATAATAATAGTGCAGTATGTCAATTTAAATTAATTTCCTATAGAATATACGGGAAACCGGTAGAAGAACTAACTCACACTTTCCAGAGCTACTAAGAGCTCTACTGTATAGCACCTGTACGGTATAATCCCCGTCTTAGGATATAGGAATAATGGTGAGGCATAGCTTCCAGATCTCCACAATTGTGCATAGAACAGAAAACACAAATAAAATCCAATAGTCCAGTATGTCTGATAGATAGCATATGGCAGAGAAGGTATCTTACTTACAATTTCCAGAGCAATAAACTTGCTCTGGTAATGAGAGCTTGTGGTGGTATAATCCCCACCAGAGGATATAGGCAGGATCCAAAGTGCACCAGGAACAGAAGATGTATCAAGGAGCAAAGTAGGAGGTAAAAGAGGTATGGACAAAATTTGAGCAAACACGTGAAAAGATGAACCCCAAGCTATCTGCCACGGAGCAATATATATCAGTACATATTGTAGTTTGCGATATAAATTCACAATTTTTTTTCTCAGAGTCTCAGGCTTAACTGCCTCCTCTCTCCCAGCTGTTAGATTCCCTGGGTTTCCCGTATATTCTATATGAAATTAATTTAAATTGACATACTGCACTATTATTTCAATTTATCTCTTTTAAAGGTTTACACTCACTGTTATATTGTTGGAACATCCCGTATGTGTGTGTATGTATATATCTCCCTTTTTTAAATTGAGTATTTCACATATCTCTGTGGCGCGGTATTCCACTTTGTTTTTGCATTACTTAAACTAGCTAATGTAATCAGCTTGTGATCACACCTGTTATTCCTCAGACGGCTAATTCTTCACCTGCCTAATTTTCGTTCCCCATCCAACCTGCCCGAGAGTTGTTCGAGTCTCTTCCAGTTAACTTGCCAATAAACTTCACCATGACCCCTAATAGGTAAACTGAGCCCTACAATACTGCAATCCAACTCCAGTTAACTTGAATTGTCACCATGCTCCCATATCTATTTATGTCCTTCCCAATTAACAGTTCCTAAATATCTAGTAAATTTACCTCTACCCTACCAATGTCCCCTCCATCTAACCTAACCCTAAACCACCTCGTGCCCCCTTCATCTAACTTAACACTAAACTATCACTGTGGCCCCTCCATCTAACATAGCCCAAATCACCCCAGTGTCCTTTCAGCTAACCCTAAACCCTTCAGTAGCCCCTACACCTAACCTGGGTCTATAGTTCTCCATGCCCCGTCATCTAACGCGCCCCTAGACCCCCCTCCTCCTCCTCATCTAACCCGCCCCTAGCCCCCCTCCTCCTCCTCCTCCTCATCATTTAACCGCAACCCAGCCCCTGCCCCGTCACCATCCTAGCCGCCCCACCCCGTCACCATCTAACCGCCCCTCACTTGTCACCATCTAGCCGCCCCCTCACCATCTAACCCCTCCCCTCACCATCTAACCTCCCTAGCCCCCCACACCATCTAACCACTAACCATCTAACCCTCCCCTAACCCCCACACACCATCTAACCCTCCCTAACCCCCACACACCATCTAACCCTCCCCTAACCCCCACACACACCATCTAACCCTCCCCTAACCCCCACACACCATCTAACCCTCCCCTAACCCCCACACACACCATCTAACCCTCCCTAACCCCCCACCACCATCTAACCCTCCCCTAACCCCCCCCCACACACACCATCTAACCCTCCCCTAGCCCCCCCACCCTCTAACCCTAACCCCCCCCACACCATCTAACCCTCCCTAACCCCCCACACACCATCCTAACCCCTCCCTAACCCCCCCACACACCATCCTAACCCTCCCCTAACCCCCCACCATCTAGCACTCCCTAACCCCCCCCCACCATCTAACCCCCTCCCTCTTCCCCCATCTAGCCCTCCCTAACCCCCCCACCATCTAACCTCCCTAACCCCCCCACCATCTAACCCTCCCTAACCCCCCCACACCACCATCTAGCCACTCCCTAACCCCCCCCACCATCTAACCTCCCTAACCCCCCCCACCATCTAACCCTCCTAACCCCCCCACCATCGCCCTCCCTAACCCCCCCACCATCCCTAACCCTCCCTAACCCCCACACCATCTAACCCTCAGCCCCCCACACACCATCTAACCCTCCCCTAACCCCCACCATCAACCCTCCTAACCCCCCACCATCTAACCCTCCCTAACCCCCTTCAACCTCCCTAACCCCCCCCCACCATCTAACCCTCCCCACCGTTCCCATAACTCACTCGGCTCCTCAGTCAGTCAGTCAGTGTGTCCCGCTCTCGGGGGTCTCCCGGCGCTGACTCTCGGGGGTCTCCCGGCGCTGGCTCTCGGGGGTCTCCCGGTGCCGACTCTCGGGGTATTCACAGTTGTACAATCGGTGGAGGGGGTTGTTTTCACTCCGCTTTTCTCTCCGTTGACTCTAAACAACTCCTGTGTGGCTCCAGCCGGAGCGCGTTCACTTCCTCTCCTCCGCCCACTCCAGCCAGGCGGGAGCGCGCATTGCTTTCCCACAGCCTCCATCCATCCTGTCGGGGGCGCGCGCGCGCGCGCACGCACACGGCGGCCTCGCGGAATCTGCTTCCGGTCACACAGAGGCGAAGGGGCGTAAAAAAACGCGATGACGTCCCTTCGACGGTTAGCAGCAGCTTCTAAACATTCGCTCCCGTAGCGGCACAGTGCGCATGCGCGAGTCTGTCTTAAAGCGGCAGTGTCATCCCAGAAAAAAATAAAATACAAAAATAACAAGATTCTCAGCATTTCATAAAGACAACACCTTTATAAAATGCTGATAAAGAATGTGTTAAAAATGTCTCAAAACATTATTTTATTGGTTATTTGACAAAATTCAGAGTTATCGCTGTCGAGTTTGCTTAATTCCCCTGACGACTGCGGGATTAAGGCATTACCTGGCTCACTGTGAGGCCGTATATAGGGAGGCGCTGACACGGATTAATCGCCATTAACCTCTCCTGCACCCCCAGGCCACCACGCCTAGCGGCCATGTCACCAAAGGGGGCCATTGCAAGATATGCAAGACCCCCTAATGTAACAAGCAGCTATAACGGGGAGAAATGGATAAAAAAAATAACCTATTTCTTATTGCAATGTAAACTTAATTTGTGTACATGTATAAATATATTTATTTATTTATTTTACACTGAACGACCACAACTTTAGGGCACTGCCAGTGAAGCGATCATGCCTAGCTTTTGTGTATTTGTGATAGAATAAACAGGGTGGGGGGGATATTCTCGCCCATTGGCAGTGAGATCATCTCGAGAAAATCTCACTTCTCTCGAGACTTGGCTGTCAAAGTGCTCTGATTGGATTTATTCCTTTAAGACCCCGTTTATTCTATCACAAATACACAAAAACTCCTCAAGAGGACTAAACGAAGAGTTTGAGTTTACCCCATTCATCTATTCCTCACCATTTTTCTCCTTCTTTTATTTCAATAATTTGGGCTGTATACCATTTTCGGGTTATGGCTCTTACTCCGTTACATAACATTTGCATAGTATCGCCATTAAAATTGACCTAAAGTTTTCACCACACATTGTCTTTGGTCCTCTTAGAATAGTTATTAGATTTAACTCTATTCATTGACCAATTGATTACACTATCAGCGACTGTTTATGCTCAACCTTCGAATATTGAAAATTCTGTTGATATTGTTGATATTATGTGAATAATATTTATAATATCATATGCGGAACGAGAAATACGCCCTATATATGGGCTTCGCAAATGACGCAGCTAACCTCAGAGCTAGTTAGTGGAGAAACGCGCGTCAGGAAAGTTGTATATAAGGGTGGCTGTGGATTTGGGATGATGCTGCAGTTTATTTAAGGCAAATAAAAGTTTTTTTTTTTACAGTAAGAGCAATAAGGTTATGGAATTCTCTGCCTGAAGAGGTGGTTTTATCAGAGTCCATACAGATGTTTAAACTGCAATTGGATAAATAATTGCAAAAACATAACATACAGGGATATAATTTCTAATTAGTGGGGTAATAGCTGCTTGATCCAAGGAGACATCTGACTGCTATTTTGGGGTCAAGAGGGAATTTTTCCCTAGTTTGTTGCAAAATTGGAAGCGCTTCAGACTGGGTTTTTAGCCTTCTTTTGGATCAACAGCAAAAACATATGTGAGGAAGGCTGAACTTGATGGACACAAGTCTCTTTTCAGCTATGTAACTATGTAACTATATTTTTTTAACGTTTAGATTGCCACCTCATACTTACTATTTTAATATTATTTTTTGTTTCATTATCTCGTTTTTATTTACCATTTGTTAAATTTTTCTCTTTTTTTCTTTCCTCCGTTATTATCATAGTTAGGTAGGAAGAGGGGTTTAGCATTTTTTAAGGGGTGCTCTCAAAGGGACTACTGGAATACTTACTTGCTTCCTTATACATCTTTACATACGTTTTGTCCAACTCTACCGTTTTTCCTTCTTTATTTCTGCACCTTATGACAGATTTAGTCAGGACAGTAAATTTATCTCCTTGACCGCGTACTATTTGACTCCAATCTTATCTTGTAACTAGACATCAGGTACATTTAATGGTTTGTTTTTCTTTCACTTTTCCATTCACACCCGATACATGTTTGGAAGTTACATTGTATCTTATATCTGTTACGATGTTGAGGCTACATGTCTTTCACTATCTTTGCAGGCCCGCCGACTCGACAGAAGCCAGGATTTACTAAATATATATTTTTTCTTAGGCTATTTTAATATGTTATAATAAATCTGAAGAGCTGATCCAGCGAAACGCGCGTCAGGGGTCCCGGGGCATTGCTGTGTCCACTCAGTACAACTTGCAGAACTACTTGGCACTTTAGAACTATTATATTTATTCATTTTTTCCCTTTGCACCTCGATCATACTACGAGTCACTTGGTTATTTTTGACTCGGCATACTTTTTATTTATAGGAGCGGGTGGTATTACGAGTATTTCAATAGGTTAGGGTTATCTCTAGAGGTAAGGAGTGCCCATGAAGGCACAATAGGGAAAGTTATTTGCCATCCCCCTGTGTCCTCTGTTCTGTCTCCCCCCCCCTTTTCTTTGTTCGATCATCAAACCCCCCCTTTCTTTCCACCCCATCCAGTACCTGTCATTATTTAAGGACTCTCTTTACCATCAGCAGGAAACTTAGCTATATCTTGTGTTTAACGCATAAAAATGATCAAATAGAAACATTTAAATTTACAGTAGTTGTGTCACATTCTGTTCTTAGCTGCGGATCATTCTGGCTATGGCTTCTGGTATCCAGTACTCTTTTTACAATTCTTGTTGACCTGCCAGATATGGGGTACATTGGCGTTGTTGGCAGGCTTATGCAATGTATGATCATATAATGTAACTAAATCCCCATACTTTTCATATATAGTGCTTAGTTATGTCTCCTCTTGTTTTGCCTTGTATCTCTTGTCTTGTTTTATTTTGTCTTGTATTCCCAGTTCATGTACAGTCCTGTCCTGCCCTGTTCTTGTTTTCCTCATGTCTTGTCTCATGTTCTGGGCTCTGCTTTCTGTCCTGCTCTGGTTCTGGGTTCTCCTAGTTTTGTCTTGTTTTCATGTATGGTGCCTATCTCTAGTCTTGCCTTGTTTCTGTACTGGATACATTCCTGCTGCAGAGCCTCCCTATTCAGCTCCTGGGAGGTCTGCTTAATTCCTGCTCCTAGTTCCTAGGATCCGCAGTAGCTGAATCAGGGTTCTGGTATGTGGCTGCACAAACGCTGGTGCTCAACACCAGGGGGCGTGTGGTTACCCTGCACCAGACCCTGCTAATCCACCTCCACACTGTGACTCCTACTCTTAACATCAGCCATACTGGGTCCCGGTCCTCGCACCGCCACCCGGACATTGTCTGGGTCCCGGGCACCAGACTGCCACTCTGACAAGCTGCTATTGATACAATTACAAGAATCATTGGATATATGCTTATTTGCAACCTTATACCCAACACTCAATGTATCTGTTATAATTCATTCAGATCATTGTGCTGGACAAAATCTAATTGCACATCATTACCACTAAGATATTTGCTAAATCATTTTCCGGTGCCACAGCATATCTATAGTAATTTTACATAAAGTCCAAGTATGTGCCTACTAACAAATTTGATAACTATCATCCTGTAATTAATACAGGCTACATACCCCAAGTATCCCAGTTATAGTGATTGATTCTACTTTAATTTATCTGGGGCACTTACTACTTTATCTGCATCACTGGAACAGCCTTAGTTGTTTTGTATTTCTGTTTATAGTACAAATAGTTCAGTGTTGTAGTCCGTCCAATGTGTCCCTATTGGGACTTTTTATTAATCAGCATATTGATTAAAAGGTAAGTTTTATTATAGGTTGTTTCTACTCTTCTTAGTATTCCATTTTTCATTCAACACCATGCGTTGCATCCTCCCTTCTGTCGTTTGTCTGTTTCTAAATCACCACACGGGTTATCCCCCATCTAGGAAGTATGCATAGGCTTCAATTTTTCTCTTTTTTCGTTTGTTTCCTTTTCTTTCTTTTCTTTTTATAGTCTTTGTGTCTTTATGAGAAGAATTTGACTAGTGAAGTGCAGCTATTTCCATGCATGTGCCGTGGGTCTCCAATGCTTCTCTGTGAGAAGCATTTCATTGGGTTGAGCTCATCAAACATGATGGTCTCATTGTCGGTGGAGCATGAGGAGACCGTTTAATGGCATTTTTAAAGTATATACATAAAAAAAAATTTTTTAAGGAATGGCCTAGATCTAATAAAAGAAAGAAACACCCTATTGTCCTTAGTTCTGCAATGTAAATATTTAAATCAGACAACCACTAGAGGTGCTGCCGTGATTTACCGGACTACCGGAATATTGAAGATCCAGAAATATCGAAGTAGTATTATATAAAGCATTATCTGAATAATCCTGTTTTCCTTGAGTAGATTTGCTTTTATTTTTTTAACTATTGAAATTTTTACAGCAATTTTAACCCCTTAAGGACACAACTTCTGGAATAAAAGGGAATCATGACAGAATATTTCCATTATCTGTCCTTAAGGGGTTAAATGGGTGTAGGAACATTCTGCAGGAATGGCAAAAGATGTGTTACACATTACCGTTTTGTGATTTTCCAATGTAGTGCATTCATACATTGATGTAGGGTTACAGAGAAACAGTGGATTTTGACTCATAGTTCCTCTTTCCCTCACCTCAGTTAACACCATTTAATGGGAGTGCACTAGAAGGAAGTCTAAAGGGGAACCATGACTTCTCAGGATTTTAATCTAGTTTTCTTATCCCTTGTGTTAAACAAATACATGTGTGAAAAAACCCTCTTAATATAGATATTTACACTGCTGTACTTACCTCTATCCTCAAACTGAGTGCCTACATTTTGTTAATCATTATTATATGGTACTTAATGCTCTTTCCGCCTGTCATCATAGAGAGCATATGCAAACAGTGGCGGAACTAATATAGAAAAGGCCCTCGTGAAAGACATATTGTTTGGCCGCCCCTCTAGCCCAAGAGTAGCCAAAAGGTAGATCCTCATCTGTCGTTTGCCCATCCTTGCAGGGTTGTATT